TTTTTGTGAATCATGGCTTAAGCAAAGTGTTAATCACGGATAGAGGTACTCACTTCACTAGTTTATTTTGGAAAACTTTGTTTAGTTTTTTCAAAACAAAACTAGCAATGTCAACGGCCTATCACCCTCAAACTGATGGACAAACTGAGAGGGCAAATAGAACCATAGAGGATATGCTACGAGCATTCACATTAGAAGAGCAAAAAGAGTGGGACAACCTTTTGCCACTTGTGGAATTTGCATATAACAATTCTGTTAATGCATCCACAAAAGTGTCTCCATTTTTTCTTATGTATGGAGCTCATCCGATAACTCCTTCCAGTTTGATGAGACTTCCGAAAGGAGAGGAGTTTTCGACCAAAGTTGCAGCAGTCAACGAATTCGTGGAGCATATTCACCGAGGACTACATCAGGCCAAGGAGAAGTTGGTGATAGCTCAAAATCGGCAAAAGCAGCATGCCGATGCTCATCGTAGAGAAGTGATTTTTGAGGTTGGAGATCATGTTTGGTTATCTACAACGAATTTGTCTCTTGTAGGAACACCAAAGTTAAACCCTAGGTTCATTGGTCCATTTTTGGTTTTGAAGCGTGTTGGTGAAGTGTCATACAAGTTGGAACTTCCGTCACATATGAAAATACATCCAGTATTTCATGTGTCACGATTGCGAAAACATGTACCACGACCAAAACAATTCACCAACCAACCAGCACCACCTCCTCTTCCAACCTTGATAGCAGATCATGAGGAGTTTGAGGTAGAAAAGATACTCAAGAAACGTATTCGAGGTCATAAATATCCCAAAGTAGAGTATTTGATTCAATGGAAAGGCTATCCATCGTATGAATCAACTTGGGAACCAGCTAAAAATTTAGCAAATGCACCTTTGATAGTTCAGGAGTTTGAACGTATGTGCAACGAGGACGTTGCATCTTAAAAGGAGGGAGGTTTGTAACCATCTTTAGTTAGTTAGAACTAAAGTAGAGGTTACTCTGAATATTGATGTAGATACTTTAGTGTGCACTAGTCATAGCTGCCACGTCATCGATCCGCGCACTTGGTAGGTACAGAGTGGATGTGTTAGTTGACAGTGCCACGTCAGCAATCCGTGTGCTTGTAGCTAAGGATTGAGTGTGTTAGTTAGTGTGTTAGTTGGGTGCGCCACGTCAGCGATCCGTGTGCTTGTTAGGGTTATCCGCCATGTCATCCATCCACTAGGAGTGGTATGGATGGTGGGGATTAGATCTTATCACCTTGTACTTGTTGGTGAGAGCTATATAAGGGAGAGGAGAACCATTGTTGGTATCTCTCATCTTCAGAGTTTACGTGTCTATCTTCGAGTGAAGTTCTCTCTAAACCCTAGTGTTACACCTACGAATGTAAGTTTAGATTCTAGTTACAATGCAGCCTAAAAGATATGCCCTTTCCCCAAAACAAAAAAGGGTTAGTAAGACCCCACCAAATCCTCCATGGATTGGAATATATTTCCTTCCCATTATGATGCTGTTCGGACCTGGCGGTCCCAATTGCATCGTAATGGGAAATGTGTTCCAACATACTAAGACATCTTAACGATCTAAGTAAAATGTTCTAAATACAAAGAGCATCCGAAGACACACTAAGGGATCAACCCGAAAAGCATCACGCACTGAAATTGCTCTGCTCTGGATTTCACCTGCTACTGCTATTTGAACAGCAATGGAGGTACAAATCTCCCAAGTAGCACAGGTGCTACAAATGCTAGTGCTTAAGGTATACTTAGATTGCCAAACTGCTGAAGCTTAAGTAGGGGTTTTATGGTGCCTTGTTTGTCGTCTGCTGCCTTTTGTGGTTTGATGGTCCTCTCTTTCTCTTACCATCTACCATTTTACCATTTACCCAATTATACTTACTCGCAAAGGGCCATGTGGATAGAAAAGAAATATGGTATGGTACCGGTATGAAATTTTATATACATGTGGTAGTTTCCACTTCACTTAGTGATTTGTGCAAGAAATTTGTAGGTTATCTGCCCTTTCATGTATTTCTTGCAAGGTTCAGAATCGGAATGGAATGCGAAGGAGTCCGAGATAAGGGGAGAATCATGAACATGTTTACCTGCCATCTATTGGAGCAACCGAAAAGACTCAGAACCGGACGTTCGTAGCCAGATCACGGGTGGGAGGACTGCAGTGACTGTGCCTTTTGCATTAAATTTGAGGCAGCTCGAGAGTATAGTCAACGGATGGAGGTCGAGAAGAGAGGCAAGAGTTCGTTTTAAGAACTTTCCAAAAGACCAGGAAAGCGACATGTGATGCACGAGTCCAAAACTCTCATGGTGAGATTTTTGTCCACATTAGTGGAGAAGCTTACGCGATCGTGACAGTCAGAGTCCACTGATTAGCACACCTTGCATGGAGTTGCCCACAAACTGCGACATTCATTCAGTTACAAAGATCAGACTGCAACTTTCTGTACGGAGGAGCCTTTTACTCGATCACCTTGGAATCTTCTGCCTCGTAATCTTGAGGACAAAGGGATCTTGTAAAGGCTATCGTAGGATCTCTCTCACAGCAAAAGCTTGAGCAACTTGTCGACTTTTTAAACTACGAACTGACGCAGCTAGGAGAACTCCTGCAGTCAAGCAGAGCTTAAGAAGTGGGACTTGGAACGCAAACACGCAACCATGGAAGAACATACTTGCAAAGATCATCTTGTATCCACGAGCATAAAGTGAAAACTTGCTACGAGGATGAAACGGAGGTGGCGAGTGATTCGCCGATCATCGAGATTTCGTATCGCCTGACCTACGGCCCCATTGCCCACGTGCAATCGACTGCCTCAGAGAGAGCAAAGAAGAACGGAGACCGAAGTGAGCATAACTAACTGCAGGAAAATGAAGAGTCGAGCCATGGAATCAAGTTAGAGATTCGTAGGAGTTCATATGCACAGTGGATGTATATACTCTTGTTCCTTCTATATCTCTCCTCGTTTCTGCGGATACCAACTAATTTCCCATGTGAGAGGCGACAGGTTTACAATGCAGGACGGGGATGTACGGTACTTTGGGGTGTGCAAGAGTGCACTAAATGCACCGGTTACAAAACAAGTTTGTATAAGATCATCTGGAAACTTGTAGTTATCTGAATGTGAAGTTTGAGACTTGAAACCTCCAGATCCAGGGCTTCCATTTGACAGTTTTCAGTTCTTTGCGTGAGTTGTTGTGAGAGCAAAACTTTGGATAGAGGATGCATTTGAGTGAGTGGAGTGTGATGAAGATTTCCCATGGAAATGTAACTTTGGCTACCTAGAGTGGTGTGACCAGGGTTAAGTCGTTCGCACTCAACATCATTATTGTTCTCTTGTCTCGTCCGTCAAGCCGAGAATACTCTTTACATAACCGGTTGGGCTTGGTCAACATATTTTTCATCTACATCCTTTTACGCTCTTGTCCAATCCCGTGCACATCTTTGTTTGATCCTCGAGGCTTTTTCAACTTTCCTTCTCAAGCATTTCGAAGTATCTTATTAGTGCTCCGTTGTGCATACAATTATTTGGCCCCGGGCTTTCTTGTGAAGTGTGCAGGAAGGAATCTGATGGTATAATTTAGAGGAGTTAAAAAATTGTATTCGAAGAGTGACAATCAGCGTGTCCACAGTCCAAGTCCAGGAGTGACAACAATTTTGTATGGCAATTTAGCAGCTGGAGAAATTCGACATCGCTCGAAATGGAATCTCATCTCATTCAGATGATAGAGACCACCAAGCGAGGACAATCGAGCGGTGCCAGAAGTCCCACGACCAGATTCCAGATGCCATAATCGAAGGAGGTACTGTAAGGACAAGGAAGTATCTTTCCAAGTTTTGAGAGCGTATTTCAGCCTGGAGACGGAAGGATGGAGAAGGACAGAAGGAAGGTTGGACTGTGCACCGTGGACTGAGGACATTATACAGCCTCGTTCTAACCGCTGCATTGCCTGTGGGCCCTCCCCTTCCGACAAATGCTGGGGCTGTAGAAAAAGCTCCGATGTCCGGACCCTGTAGGCTTGCTGTCATGGGGGAGGAAACAGTGAGGGCGGAGATGTGGAGGCCAAGGAAACGAACGATTCGACTGTAGTGCGACGCGGTCGAATGCTGCTGCAGAAAGCTCAGAGACAGATTTCATGACGAGTCCATCCCTGGCCGGCGCTCTGCAACGGATGGACATGAACATTCACAGGCTCCGATGACTCTCACCTCAGGAACACGAGTTTCAGTGTCCGGCTGCGAAAGTCATTTTGCCCCCCTTCTGCTCTAGTCAAGCCGAGGAATTCAAAAGAAAAATAAATTGCGGCTTCCGCCCTCGCCTCCCTCCCATGGCCGGCTGGCTGGCTGGCTGGCAACGACTCTGTCAGGGCCCAGGGAAAAAGAGACTGACCCGAATCAAGCAGCGGGACCAGGCGGAAAGATGGGGTGAACGAGTGTGGTACACATCAGCCGCACCTCCCCTGTCCCTCCTCCTCCTGCTGCTCTGCTCGCTCGCTAAAACTGTGCGTGAGTGTGCTCGAGAGAGATAGAGAGTGATTGTGGGAAGGGGAAGTGGAAGGGGAGGGAGGCGAGGCAGCAGCGAGGGAGGGACTCGGGGAGAAGAGCGTGAAAGGTGAAACACGAGTGCGCGATCTGGAATTTCAGAGCCCTCCCTCAACTGTAGAGCCGTAGTGACGATCGGAAACGAGGGCCTGATTCACCGCCAGATACAGCAGCAGATCCACCGTGCCCGCCAGACTCTGAGCTGCTAATTGGAGCGGAGTGCAGCTTGGCCAAAGCCAGGAGGAAGATTGTGGAGGGGTAGAGTGAGACAGTGAAAAGAGGAGGGAGAGCGGAAGCTGGAAATCTCGCAAGCGCAGGCAACTGCCTCACTGCTTCACTCACTCACTCGCTCACATGCCACGCAGAGGACAGTGCTGCTGAGCTCAGCTCAAATAGGGAGGAAAGGACAAAAGAGAGCCAAACAAAGTATGTTCGAGCTCTGCATGTTGTCCTGAGCTCATCGAGGCTGGCAAAAGCAATCAATGCACTGACATGAAGTGGTGCAAGGAGGAGGGAATGTTGGCAGAGAGTCGCAGCAGCAGCTCATTGGAGCTCTGAGAGAGCGTTGAAGTGGGTGGTGGTCCAGCGAGCCCACTGGAGCGCCATTTACTGCAATCACTGATTGTGGTAGATGGGAGCTGGGTGATATCAGAAGGAGAAGCCATTGAGTGGTTTCTTCTTCTCCTCTTCTGTCCCGCTCTCTACTTCTTCTGGGGGAAGTTAGAGATGGGGACCTACGACATCGTCGACGATGAGGACGATCACCCGAAGAGGACCTCGGCCTGGTACGTGCGCACCTTCGTAGGAGTCCTGCTCTTCGCCGCAGCCGTCACCGGTGCGGTCGTCGGCATCTACATGGTCGCACATCCCAAGGACAAGAAGGCTGATGACGGCGGAACCCCGTTCACCCCTTCGACTCCTGGCTCCGATCCTTCACCCGAAGACGGCCCTGCGCCCGATTTCGGCCCTCCTGGGTTCGCCCCCACCCCCATTGTCAATGACAACTACACGTTCGGCAATGCGCTGTCGCTCTCTCTTACCTTCCTCAACATCCAAAAATGTAAGTGCCTCCTCCGAATCTTCTCTCTCGCATTTCCGGACAATCTTGAGGTGACAGTTTTTGGGCTCCGGAAATACTATGAGATCCCACATTGTACACGCCAGATGCTCTCGATGCCACCACCCACCTCGAGGATCTCTTGCTCGACCTGGTTTTCACAGCTTTAGTGTTTTCTTTTCATAACAATCATCTTCGTCCGCTTCGACGCTGAAAACTGCAATGTCTCGGAGGGGGACGGACTGGCTGGAACATCTGATCTACTCTGCACCGCAATGCGGCTCCCCATTGAGCCAGAGACGGAATGAGGATCACAGGCTCTGTTCGCATTGTCCACGACGAACAGCATTGCGCCTAACGTCCATTTTAGTCGGCCACCCACGCACGCACGCACGCCGTACCATACCGTACCATATAGAGCCTCTCGATGTTCCTCTCGGTTTCCATCCGGAGCATCGGTGTCGGGTCGCAGATTTCCGAGTCGTACAGGTCGCATCTTGGTCCGATTCGAGAATGCGAGCGAGAGAGAGAGCCGACCGCAGCGTCAAGAAGATGTCGGACGGACTCGTTCTCCACGGCCGAAGGAGTCGACGAAGAGAGCAGAGCAGAGCAGAAAAGAAAACAGGGGCCGGAGCGGGGGGAGGAAGGCTCGTTGGGGACTGTCACTGACAGTCCGCTCTCGGTGACCTCGCCCGCCGCACCCAACGCCACCTCGTGCCCCCTGCCGTGGCCAACGAGTGGCCGCCGGGCTGTAGAGAGTTCTTGAGCTCGAGGCCGTTCTTTGGGGGCTACTTGCGTCCGAGGCAAGCCTGTCATGGCGGAGTTCACTGAGAGATGAGGACCTACGGACTCAGCGATGGGTCTGCGAGGAGCAGGGGAAGGAGAAGGGGTCCTGATGCATCGTCTGTCGTGGTCTCTGTGTGTGTTTGTATGTGCAGCGGGCAAGCTTCCCTTGGACAATCCCATCACATGGCGGTCGGACTCCGGCACGAGTGATGGGAGTGACGTGAACCTCGATTTGACGGGAGGATTGTACGATGCTGGTGATCATATTAAATTCGGTTTACCGATGGCCTTCACAGCGACAATGCTTGCCTGGAGCGTGCTCGAGTATTCGCCGCAAATGTCCGCCGCGAGTCCGAATCAACTCCCCGTTGCCGTGGATGTAATCAAGTGGATCACAGACTACTTGATTAAAGCTCATCCTGACAACGACACTTTCTACATGCAGGTGCGCCAGAATCTCCCCCCTCTGTCATTTCAAGCCCCTCGGATCGTCTGGAGCTTCTCTCAGTTGACCTTCTCGAGGGAAATCTCTCATCTCCATAATCTAGCCTTACGACAGAGGTGGACTCAAGCTCAGCAGCGATGTGCTGTCGTGTCTGAGCCCGGACCTCCGACCTTTAGAAATCTGTTCGGCAAGTCTCGAGGTAGTAATCACCGGAGCAACTAGACTCGACCTGGAGGCTGGAGTTGCTTGTGGTGAGCAGAACAGACGGGATGCCCGCTTTAAAATCTCTCCCAAGCGGGATCGAGCTCGCAGTGGCCAATTTCGCTTGAGGTTGCTGCTCTTCTCGTCGAGAGGTGTGAAAAGGAAGGATCGTTGTTCTGAGGTGAGGCATTTGTGTGTGCAGGTTGGTGATCCACAAACAGATCATGATTGTTGGCAGAGGGCGGAGGATGTGACCATCGCCCGGCCTTCATACAAACTCGACAGCGAACACCCTGGAAGCGATGTAGCAGGGGAATCAGCCGCAGCAATGGCAGCCGCATCGCTGGTTTTCCGTCAAAAAGGTACCGCCCATGAGGACCAGGCGTACGCAGATCTCCTCCTCTCGCACGCCGTGGGCTTGTATGACTTTGCGAGTGAAACTCAAGGGACCTTCTCCGACACCTTTCCAGAGATGCAAAGGTACTACAACTCCACAGGCTTCCAGGACGAGCTCTTGTGGTCAGCCACATGGCTCTACCACGCCACCGGAGACCAGTCTTACCTCGACCAAGTCACCGGATCGCAGGGCGAGCTTTACGGTGCCTGGGGAAAAGCCCCTCTGTGGTTCAGCTGGGATGACAAACGTGCTGGAGTGCAGGTCAGTTCGATCTATTTCTTACCATTCAGACTTGCCTTGGCGTTTCTCGTCCTTCTGCGCGAGTCATCTCCTTCAGCTGCCACCCTACCAACTCTCGTCGTCTCACTGACTCCTGATTCAGAATACCAAATTCATGTCGTGCTGTACCCGTGACGTGGTTTGTCTAACTTCTGGTGTCGCTAGAATCACCCCGGATATGTCCACATTGCCGTAGTGGGGCATCATATGAGAGGTGCTTGAATCATGGGGCTCAGCTAACATGCAAGCTCTTACTTCTGTACCAATTGTCGCGGCAGTTGTATGCTCCTTGTGGTTGTCCAACCCTTTATACTTTGCTTTCACTAAAGCGCAGAGATCTGTCAGTGACCACGGCTTCCGCTCCCACGACTTGCTGCTGACCCGTAAAAATTCTGGTGTCTAGAAACGTAAAACTACTCCGGTAGCAGACAATGCCTATGTGATGAAGTCATCGACTATATCTGCTCTTACAGTCAAGACAGCCGATTCCAGTTGAATCTAGGATGCAATGTTCTTTCCTCTACATGCACGCAGAGTTCGTCCCCATGTTGCCTTCCTAATCGTCGGCGCAACTTTTTACTTCACTGCCTGTCGTATGATTTCAATCTCAACCCACCCACACTTAGTTCTAAAAGAAAGTGCATAGCGGATATCACAGTGCGGAAAACTTTTTGTCACTCACAGAAAGCGCACTTGCTCTCCTGCACTTTCTTCCGATCTGTCGTGATCTGGATCTGTCTCCTGTGATCTGGACTCCTATCGATCATAGGCGTGGGGCATTTACTGCTGCAAACACGTCGTGCCTGGAGAGCTCATCCACAGCAGCACAATGAGTCTTATCGTTCCTCGTTTGCTCCTCACAGGTTCTTCTTTCGAGGACACAACTGTTGAAGCCTATTACGAACAACAACCTACAAGCATCTAAGCTTCTCAGTTACAAGACTACAGCTGACAAACTGATGTGCGCGTTGTTACCCAATTCTCCTACGGCTTCCGCTAGGCGCACTGCAGGTGAGTCTCCGAGCCACTCATTTCCAACTCAGACACCGGAGTGACCGAAGCTTATGATCTTATTCCCTTCGTATAGAATACATAGAATCCTGGCAATTACAAGTAGCAAAAGATTTGATTCCTAGTCTGAGGCTCAATTGGAGCAGTGTTTGGCTTTTATCTCATTTTACACGACACCTGGTGTATGTCGGATCACTAAGAGGCCGACGACGATCATTCTTGCAAAGCTAGAAGGAGACGCCGAAACAGGCCAGCAGAAGTCCTCGGCTGGTCGAGTTGGCTGTCCCCTGCATGGCACGGATTCCCGTGAGGAATTAACCTGACGCTGGTCGTATGCAGGTGGAATGATCTGGGTCTCTCAATGGAGCGCTTCAGTACATACGGTCAATTCTGCATTCCTCGCTCTGGTATACAGCGATTATCTTGAAGCCGGAAAATCCTCGCTCACTTGCTCTGGTGGTAACGTTTACAAACCGAACCAGCTGCGGTGGTTCGCTTATTCTCAGGTACTGTCAGTTCGACCTCCGTGGATGAGGATCCCCACATGGTTGGTCGGTATGATTCTGCTGCCGAAAGTGCTCGAGTTTCATCGTGGTTGCGCTTTCCACCTAACGAAAATTTGCCTGATCTTGATTTGTCGTGGCCGTGCAGGTGGACTACCTCCTGGGAAATAACCCAATGAAAATGAGCTACCTGGTCGGCTATGGAACCAGCTACCCGAAGTTTCTGCATCATCGCGGTGCCTCTATTCCGAGTGACGGAGTGAAGTACAGTTGTAAGGATGGATTTCAGTGGTTGAGTTCTGCAAACCCGAACCCGCATGTGGCCTACGGAGCTCTCGTGGGAGGGCCGTTTTTCAACGAATCGTACTCGGATGCGAGAGATAATATCCAGCAAAACGAGGCTTCCACTTACAACAGTGCAACCATGGCGGGTCTGGTTGCCGGGCTCTCCTTCACAGCCGAAGAGGGCGTTCCGATGACGCTGCTGTCTTAGCGTTCGAGGCCGATTAGAAAGACATGACAAATCATTGTGCGATAACTCGACTCGACCATTGCCGATCAAGTCAAAGTCGGTGCACTGGAGTCGAGTTCCCACGACACCGTGGGAACACATTGCAACTCTTACCTCCCACTTCTTATCTAATGATCGGTGGTTCAGGCCAGCATTTGGCGATGGTTCTCTCATACTCTTCCAAATAAGAAGACGATTATGATCAACCAGTTGGTTTGGCGTGAGGGACGTATGGTATGGCAGTGCCCTATTGCTTTTTGTTGGCTCCATCAGATTGAAGCCTGAACTGCCACCGCGCTTTGTAAAATATGGAAGCTTCATTCTTTTGACCACCATTTTTTCTTGAAAAGGTAGGCAGGCGAGAATCAGGAAAAATCGTCTTGTAGTATTGGATATTCATCCACCTATACTTGAGATAGCAGTGTCTGAGGTCTATAGAAAGATTTCATCGACGATACACTTTTGTATACTCCGCGAAATTTGTACGTATCATGTAAACGAAGGACTATCTTTTGACACTCTTCAATGAAGTACCGAAAGTTTTTGTTTTAATCCCTTTTCTTAACACCCAGCATCGCTCGTTACCCCAAACGCCTGACTCTGCTTTTGCACCAGCCGTGCAATTTTTAACACTCGAGAGCTTGTCCACCACAATACGATGCCTTGATGTCCACTTCATAAACTCACTACCTTCTCGCTCAAACCGGACAAGCGACTCGCTTCAACGATATGAAACTCATAAAGCCTGTGTTGGACGGAAGAGATGAAGCCATGGGAGGCTCGTGGAGCTACTGTGAATGTCCTTATTTGGTCCTCAATTCCCGATTACGATTTCACGTCACACAACCATTCTGGAGTACAAGACTGTCAATCCCATTCATATCCTTGTCTCGTAGGGCAACGGAATTTTCATGCTCTTAAGGGCGTTATAAGAGACGTTCATAATCGGTGACAACGTCACGGGATGGGTTTCAGCAAAACATTCAAAATATTCCTGGTCACAGCATGTGGGCTTACAACATTGGATCCTTAGCTGCTATCGGAGATGCGCTGCAGGTTAAAGTCAGACTGAAACCTCAGCAGGAAAGGCAACCATGAGATTTACAGGAGCCGTGCTGCCTAAAATTATGACCTCCACAATCCCTTTGCAAATTGGTAACATTGCATACGGGATTCATCTACTCTGTCTCCCACGTTCTCTCTCTCACCTGTCCTGTCGTTCATGTTCCTCCCGGAGTTTTTCCATTTGAAACTTGCTCTCGGCTTTTGGTTGGTCGTCCTTTTCTAGATGAAACGTGGAAAGATGCACCAATTAGGACACACTGATAGCCCCAATCTTTCTATGTTCAGGAACCTACTCTACCGCGCAACGAACCCGTGGTCTACAGAATAGATAATGTCAAGAACTCTCTCCTCTGTCCGCTGCAAACAGCTTCTAGCACCATGCATCATGCTGACGTACTCACTTCTTCACCTGGACTTTCGTGCCCTCACATCTTGAAGCACAAAGTTTTTACATAAACTCAACCGCTCGAGAACTTCCCAGCAAACTGTCGTTGAGAGTGAGTGACATCACAACACTGGACGGCAGCTATACTACCGACCTACGACCTCAACGACTACGAAAGAAGAACTTTGAGGATGACACAAAGTCTGGTGGTATCAGTACAAAGGGTATGATCGCAGCGCACATATCAGATCTTCCACGAGATGAGCATGCTGCGGACGAGGCACACGTCGATCTTCGTGTGAAGTACACGTCAATCGGAAAATTATCCAGAAAAGAAAAGATCGCCTTCGAATTCGAGGTCGAGTTCGATAAACTATCGACAGACGGACCGCAGATTCTTCGGATTTGCAGGTGGTGAGTTTTACGGTACAGTACTTCGATTCGAGCAAGAAGGTGATTCACATGATGAGACGACACACGCTCGAACGCTCATCGACTGGGCCCATGGCGCCATCCATGATTGTACTCTAGTTACTGATGTCAGCATATCCGCCAACCGTTTCCACCAGTTTTCGATCTCTCTTCACATTTCTTGCTCTGGTCTTTCTTGCCGGACCATTGTCCGGCGGAGCATCTTCGAATCTTGCCTCTTCCGGTGACATGCCATTCTTCTCGTTCTCGAGGCCTATCCTCGGGCCTGGACCTGTCCGCACTCTTCCCGGCTCTTAGGCGCCCCCTCTGCGGTGGAGGCGACCCGGTGCCGAGTGAGACGGGAAGTCGCTGTCGATCCGCCACTTTGCGGGAGACACGTGATCGAGTTGCGAATAGGTACATGAGACAATGTGCACAGGACCTTGTTTGTGCGAGAATCTTCAGGTATAGTTCTCTAATTAGTATCATGTATTTGTTGGGATCGAGTCTGACACTGATCTGAATACTTTTTCTCATAATAACTCTCTTCAAATCGAACTCATCTGATTAGTTCGTTTAGAGCAACGAGACAGACCGTAGCGGTGAATAGACTAATCACCGCTACGCTCTGTCTCGTTGCTCCTAATGGGATCTTGACCAGCTAATTTTAAAGCATTACATTTCACATCTCCATCAACATAAAATATGTACTATTTTACAGACCATTTCTATTCTAACTTTCATGATACGTTTATGATTCTTTTATGGAACAACATGTCTCCGAATCTGTATTATGATATTGAATGTGGAAAACAATACGATCGTATTTTTTTCTCTTGACATCGACGAGAATGCCCAACAATGAAACTTTAAGGATTTCGGAATTTTGCTGAATCGTCATGAAGGGCTGATAATGCCCTGAATCGACGTAGACATGGGAGGACGAAGGATACTTCCGTTCATGAACTGGGGTCAATGTACAGAAACTCTCATTGGGTTCCGAACGGAATGAAGTTATCTACGTTGCAAAAGGTTCATAAAGAGTTTCAAAACTAAGTGCAGAGTAAAGGAAAACCGAGAAACGTATTTCGACACTATCCAGGTGCCCACCGTAGGATTTAGAAATCACTGTACGTAGTTTGAACGATAGTAAACCGTGCACTCGTGAAGAACCTACTGCAGTCACAGTCACAGTCAGAAGTCAAAGTCAGGGCCACGTAGGGGAAAGTCCCACATTGTTCTCGTGTAGAGGGGACTTATGAGACGAAGGCAGAGCTCGTCGGACAAGGAAAAAGAGCCGGAAGAGGTTTCGTCTCGTGCTCACCAATTCGCTTTAACTTCCTTGGAGCTAAATTTATTTATTTTTTCTCGGGGCCGATTCGCTGCGCGGCTCGGCAGAGAAAAGGACAGCGGCGAGGACTGGACTCGATTCGAACTAAACGTACCGATTCAGGAAAGAGAGGACGATGATTTGACCGATCCATGTCGCTCTCATCCTCCGGGCTCTCGAAACGCGCACCGCGTCTGTCCCGATGGGCGGCAGGTGGACACACGCTTCCCTGCGATCGCAACACGAACGCAGGAAATCTAAATCATCGTAAGAGGAATCGCGAGTTTCAGACGAGAATGATGAGAGGGAATCGAGGCCAAATTTGGGGACGGGAGCGGTGGGCCAGCGATGTCGAGGCATGATCCGGGGGGAGCATAAAAGGGCCGTGGGGGATCGATCGAAGGAGCATTCATGCGTCTGAGAGATCTGCTGGCGGGGTGGTGGAAGAAGCGCGAGGCGGGACGACGGCAGCACAGCGAGCGGTGCAGGAGGACGGTGAAGATTACCATCTCGTCGACGAGAGTGATGAATTCCGCGAGCGAGACGGCCGGGGACCAGGATCACCGAGTGTACCGATTCTTCGAGGCGCGCACGACGGTGGGCAAGGGCGGCATATGGGACCCGAGCGCCAACAAGTACTACTACATCGACATCACGGGCAAGAGCCTGCACATTCTGACGCTCGGCGCCAGCATCCAGAAGGAGGACTTCGACGTGGGCACGCAGGTGGGCGCCATGGCGCTCATCGAGGGCGGCCGCGGCCTCGTCATGGCCGTCAGGGACGGCTTCGGCATCTGGGACTTCGCCAAGAAGAAGCTCGACCTCGTGGCCTCGCCCTACGGCCTCGACAGCGGCTGGCGCATGAACGACGGCGCCTGCGACTCGCGCGGCCGCTTCTGGGCCGGGCGCCTCTTTGACACCGACGAGACCCGGCCCGGCCAGATCTACCGCCTCGAGAACGACGGCCGCACCGCCACCCCCGTCATCGACGGCATCTGCTGCACCAACGGCCTCCTCTGGAGCCCCGACAACTCCCTCATGTACGTCCCTCTCCCCTTCTCCGTCCCCGTCCCCGTCCGTGCTCTCGTTACACTCCCCTTCCCCTTCATCGCCTTCGCCTTCCCCCCAATTCGTTTACGGACCTCAGTTTCATGCCCGTTCTCTGATCCTGCCCTTCGTGGGGGGCACCGATCAGAGCGAGAATTGAACGGAAATGCGTCGTCATTTGAGGTCCTTACGCACTCGGATTCAATTCTGGGCTTTTAGTTGTCAATGAGAGTAATTTGTCGAGAGCCGTGGAGGAGCGCGGGACATGGACCGACCCACCCACCCTCTGACAGCGGATGTCTTTTGCATGGCTGCTTTCGACGTGGGCGTGCATGCGTGGCCGCGTGCTCGTTTCCCCCCAGCGCTTCTGCGGGATTGCTTGTTCTAGCTAGGATTGTAGTTTCTTCGAGGAGAGGGGAGGAGAGGAGGAGGGAAGGCAGAGTTTTGCGAAGGGGTGCGCTGGCTGGCGGGGAATTTCGTCGTCCCTCTGTCGATGGCTAGCTGCTGGACGGGCAGGAGCCGGATGCTGGAGGAGGGTGGGTTCGTGAGCCGGGGTGGCTGATTGATTGATCGATTGATCGATGGGCTGGGTCGTTGGGTGGTTGAATCGTGCAGGTACTGCGGCGACAGCACGTACAAGAAGATTTACGTGTGGGACTACGACGAAGAGTCGGGCACGCCGTCGAACAAGCGCCTGCTGATAGACACGAGCAAAATCTTCCATGGAGTGCCGGACGGGGCCACCATCGACCGCGAGGGTTATCTGTGGACGTGCTTCTTCGACGGGCACAAGATGGCCCGCATCTCGCCCGACGGCACCGTGGACAGGGTTTACGACCTGCCCGTCAAGAGGCCCACGCAGCCGTGCTGGTTCGGAGACAAGCTCGACACGCTGCTCATCACCAGCGCCAGCAAGGACGTGAACATCGCCAACTGCCCGGAGAGCGGCAACATTCTCAAGATTCATGTCGGCGTTCAGGGACAGTTGAAGGCCAAGTATAAGCTCAAAACCAAACCAGGCCGTCAGCCAGGCTCGCCTTGACTTGATTCTGAGACCTGGCTCCTGCTTCACTGATTGAATCACTGGATCACATTGCCGTCTTGGCTTTTCGTCCCGGTCCCCTTTGTGTATAAGATGAGAGCAGTGATCGGATATGTAGACGGGTGCAGTGACCAGCTCGCCATTGGAGATGGAGCTCGACCGTATTTCTCTTGTGTGATAATTCCTAGCGAGAGCTAGCAACTCTTACATGTCAGAGGTCCGCGTTGCTATCAGATCATGCTTGTGTTCTGGTTCCTGTCGCGGTACGTCCAACTTTTTGACCTTGGATCTATCGGGCGGAATCCACCGCTCGAACTTGTGTATTGATCATTGAACGAAATGTGAATATTCTTGGAACTTTCTTAGCGTTTCCAGATCACCGGAAGATCTTCCCGGCGGAATCCTCCTCAGATCGGGTTTTGACAGACATTTGTGTCTAACAATCAGAGTCATTACTCTGATTGTCAAGTGAGCCAGTGGAAATGTGAATGCTCTGTGGTGGTAGATCACGTCTGTGCTGCGAGTCTTTTCTTGCCTCCACATGCACGATGCGAGACCTCTGTGGCCTCTTTGAGTTTCGGACTTCTCCACTCACTGCGAATATTTTGTTCCGTAAGATGACTTCTACAACCTCAGCTGAGAACGTGCACGATAGCTATTTCATTCACCTGGGGTACTCTTGCGATCTATTTCTCATTTAATCGTATGTTGTTACTAGTCCAACTTGCATTGCGAGGTCCGTTTTATAATTCAACGTACTGTCTAGGTCGGGTCCAGATCTAATCTTGACTGAGAATTAACTCGCTGACGATCCAAGCGCAATCTTCTAGTTGTATGAAAAGTCGTGAGGTCTGCCGCCAAATGGTAGGCACCTCTGGTGTCTGCCATATCATAGTCTGCAGCTCAAGCTAAGGTTCTGGGTATGAGTAAGATTAAGATTACCAGCTGTGCCAGAATCACAAAAAGTATCTGGCGACTAAAAATTATGAGCACCATGAGCTGACTCTCAGGAACCTAAATTACTGAAGGATCTTCTACAGACTCATATCCATTAGGCACAACACGTGTGTGCTCCGTGCATGTGATTCTGTCTTATACGATGCTCCGGGTGTTTAGCCTGGAGTCGTATTCAGTACCCGATATATTCTGTAGCTGTAATATCCAGATGATGACGGAAGAAGCAAAATATTAACAGCGCTGAAAGTGTGTAATTATCAACATATTTGTATTGTCGAATATTACTGCGAATATCTGAAATGGGAAACAAGGAGGCCAAGTGACCAGGATAAGAAAAGGTTATATATGAATTTATGATATAATGTTATGTGTATATTACTAATACTTATAAACGATAGTTACTTAAAGTAAGACATATAGTGAAATTTTTTTAATAATATACTGTAAATTTATCGTTTTTCACTTTCTTGCTTAATCAATAAAAAAAAAAACTTGAAAAATATTTTCTCAGAAATTTATCTTTCATCTAAATACTATCACCTGTGGACATGAAATCCAACTGCTTTTGTTGTGATAATTATTCCGATCAACTATGGTAACTTCTAAAATGATTAAAATTGTTTGAATAATGTTAGAAAGACACACAGCGAGTTTGAAAAACTAGAAAAACTTTTGGAAGGTTGAACATGATAACTAACACCGTCTGAAATATCAAGTAAAGGTAAAAACCAAAATGTTAATCTTCGATTAGAGATTTAATACTGATATACTAACTTTAAACTGATGATCTTTGAAACTAAGAATCAGCAGTTTTTATGTTCTTCAAATGTATCTCTGAAACCTTCATTAGAAGGTTTTAGTTAAGACATTTTTAAGATTATCTAGAGATCGCTATAATCAAAATCATATAAGGCAGGAGTAATTTTGATTTGGATTGGTGATTCAACCTTTTTAAACATATAGTTTCTTTCTGGCTAAACCCTTGGCTTTGACTACAAGTCGTGTGATTACTTCAAAAAGTGCATGAATTGAAACCAATAGTTTCTTTCTGGCTTCAACCATTAGCTTAGACTACAAGTGCTGTGATTAATCTAAAAAGTGCATGAATCGAAATCAATAGTTCTAACCCTAAGAGTGACAAAGTTATCTTTCTAATATTTGGATGATTTAAAAATTTCATCTAGATACATCATTACGGAGATTATTGTTGAATTATAAATTTTAATCTCCAATTCTTGAATCTATTGAAAAATCTGCAATATAATGAATAATTTCTATCATTACATAGCACCATGATGGCAGATCCAACGAGCCGCCATCAGGTACAATTGTAAATAATTTTAAGTCTAATCGCTATGAAGTAGCTTTGGAATCATTATTGAGACAGAAGTTTTGATTAACTTTCTTCCAAAAATGAAGTATCATATGTGGATGACAAGCAATGACAACTTCGGGTGGAGATTAGCTCCATCATCATGGTTTTCAAACTTGAAAACCATGATGGATTTCAAACTTGAAAACCAGGATGGATTTGTACAGCTAAAAGTCATGATGGTGCAAATTTGCATTGGCCATTGCAAATTTTCACAATCATGGAAAGTGGATGATAGTGGCATTTAACATGTGACTGACAAGTGAAAGCTGTCCACGAACCAACGTGAGGGTTCCCTAAGAGGAATAAGAAGCTTTCAAAAGTTGTACGCTTAGAATTTTTATTTTTAAGTTTTAATTGAACGTTCATGATTTTCCCTTGATGTTAAGAGTATGATAATCAGTAAAGGAGATCTGGACTAGAAAGAGTTGAAAACAAGATCGAATTTATAATCAAAATTAGAATCGAAGAATATCAAAATCAGACTATCGTTGAATTCGGTCAAAGACCTGTCAAATATTCTCAAACGAAATCAGTTCTTGAACTTTGACAAATTTATTATTCATCGACGGTAAATTTTATTATCAATAAAGTTCATGGGGTTAATCCTTGGAGTATATATCGTCAGTATGATAGCGCTAATGAATAAAATAAAAAATAAAAAATTGGAAATGTATTCTTTCCGTCCATAAGCTCTAAACACATAAATGAGCCGCCACGTGGAAGAGACGGGTACCTTTATCCGTTGAATACATATGTCTCCGAACCAGTGAGTCTAGTTGAAGAACGGAGAGTTCCGAGGGGTCAGAATTCTTCGCTTGACGTAATCGCAAGACTACCTCGACTCGAGGCGAGCGGTTAAATTGGATGAAGAATAGCGGGACAACGGAGATGGAGAGAAGGATAAGCCCATTCATGGTACAGATGATTCCAGTAGGTGGTCGCCATGCGAAGAAAGCGCGACCTTTTGTCGTGAGAAAAGTTGCAGCAGCAGTAGCAGTTGATCGATTCTCTCTCTTTTCGAGGGGGGGCCGGCAATTGCAACTGTTGCTGCCGTGTGTTATCATCGATTCATGATCGAGCCCGAACAGACGGCGAATTCTCGCGACGAGGTTGTGGGATTATGCCCGTAGCACCACTCTCGAGGCGTTGAAACCTAAATCGTAGGTGGGCGGGGTTTCTTCGTCGTGGCGATCTCATAATCTTCGGGTTTGATGACCACCACCGCGGGCTATTTCTGTTCTCCGAGGACCTCCCCTTTACTGCGATTTGTCACGCACTCCTTTCGGAGTACTTCCGCTCATCAAAGTTTCGGACCGATTTCTACGTGTCCTCTCGACTGCTCGGTGCAGACGCTCGCTGGAGTTTCTCTGTCATCGGATGGTCGCTCGGCCTCCGTGATTACTGCCCCGCTCGTGCCCAAGAATTACAGCTCGAATCACAGGGCGTTCTCCAACACATCGGATCTGTCCACCTTAGAAGCTGAGACGAGTAGGCCAGAGATGTTAAGCTTTTTCACCAGGGGAAAAGAGGCTCCGGAGGCGAGCTCCAAAGAGCTCGACAAGAGCGATGAGGAGGCCGAGGCGGAGAGATTGAAGAAAGAGGAGCAGAAGAGACGAGATGACGAGGCAGAGAATTTGAGGAAAGAGAAAGAGGTACTGGATAAGATTGGACCTCCGCCAGAAAAACCTTTGCCGGGGGATTGTTGTGGAAATGGTTGCTCGCCTTGCATATGGGATACTTACTGGGACGAACTAGCTGATTATAAGAAGCTGAGGGAGGAAGTCAGTGGAGGACTTTGAATAGCGGACTGTATACTACCTTGTATAAAGATTGAGAGAGAGAGAGCCATCGAAAATGAAGGAATTTAATATAGTCTTTGTAACTGATGGCCTTCGTGGGCCGGGGAAGGTTATCGTATTTGATTATCACTTTCACCAGGTGACGATTTTTTCTCCAAAGGCCTCTTTGGAGTCTGGATTCATTTCGAGATAGAATTTCAAAGCCCATGCGGGCTGCGAGGATGATTTGTGCTTTGCATTATAATGACTCGGATGGCAGAGGATCTCCTGTACGGATTCGATCCAAAGGATTCTATCCGGTGTAGTCTAAACTCCAGTTTAGAAGATGAAAGTCGGTCCTGATTCTTGCCATCATGAGGAAGATTGGTCTGTAGAGATTCAGTAACGATTCCGGTGTGAAATTCAGATGATTATGGTGGAAACCCTTTGTGATTCAAATCGTTCGAGTTCTTTTCTTTGCTCTAATTGGACTCTCTGATAAAAGACTTTCAGGTATGTTTCCTTCTTTAGTGTAGAATGAAATATTCCAGGAAGGTATATCCTTTTCCAAGATACGAAAGGCAAATCCATGGAGCCTCCTCTGGGAAGATATAGACTGAGCACTTCGCATTGCCTCTGAGATATTATGTAACGAAAGGTTTTTGCGATTCCAGTTCGTTTTAAGTACAGTTTGGTCGCTTGGAATGCCTCTGCGATTCCAGGATCTGAATTCTGTTTCCGGGCCATGGTGTAGAATGGACCGTCGGGGAGCTTTTCAGCTCACTCCAGATCAAGAATCACCCTTCAGATTCGGGAAGATCTAGCTTGAGCACGGGGGGATTTAAGTTCCAGAAATCTGTGACATACTTAGACGCATTTCCACAGAGCTAGTTCCTCACGTGGTCAAACCTTCCACTCATGTTTGAAAAATTGCTTACTATTATAGTCTGTGGAATGGACTTTGAGCAATGTTTTCCTCCCTTGGCGTAGATGGGATTCCGACTGGGTTTAATAACAGTGCAAGAAGCTTCGGCTCTCGAAGCTTTGAGTCGAGCTTCAGCTGAAACTTTCCAAGCCTCCTTTCTACAGAATCTTCAATACACTAGCATGTCAGCTGCGTGAGCTGCGCGTATCATTCAATTCTCCCAGTTGATTGTCACTTTGGGACAAGTTGACGTGAGAGATGCGTAAGCTTGAGGCATCATAATATACCTTCAGCACTCTCTCGCAACTTTCAGTTGAATATGGCACAAGATTTCGTATACTCTTCGTCTACGTCTCCGGTATAGTTTCCTTAAACCGGAGTTGTGCGGCTCCCTTCCTCTACTCTACTTCCAATTGTACACCACATGAATCTGAGTCGGGCGCAAAGTGAGTTTATCTTCTTCTCATGAACGACGGTCTGAACGATTGTGAGGTCCGATTTGGAAGGAGATGTAAAATTTCCATGTACTTTTATTTTGTCAGTGGCTTGCACAAAGTCGACACCTCATCAAACAGATGTTGAATACGAAGGGTTCACAAGAGAGAAAAATCTCTACGAACACAAATTACCTCAATTGCTGATGCCGGAGCAGATCTAGAAGCCATAATCCTGGTGATTTCAACTCTGCCTACTTGATGCGTAAACACTCGACCAGGGAGTATGAGCGAGTATTTCTTCGTTCAATCACATGTATGTCTACAACTTATGAGTAAACTACTCCAGAATAATGAACTTGTTTCAATGCAAGTATCGTATGAGTAAGATGAAGTAGCTATTGTTTTAACTCGATGGTTGTTTTGTTGTGAGTAAATCTTCAACTTTATCGTGGATGAAGTACGAGTAGATGATGTCTCAAGTCAATGACCTGCTGCTGCTCATAGACTTCACCACCCTCGCTTACAGAATGGAAGCTAACATTCTGGAGCCAAAGTTGCAAATTTTGGAACTAAAACTCACAAATTCGGTTGCAAAATTTGGAAATTTTCATCGAGTCATGAACTATTCAAGCATATAGGAGTAGAATATGACTAAGACCGTTCTTATTCCAGCACTCGTCCTCTTCTGGCTTCAGTAGATACACAGTTTGAGACAACCTGATATTTTTTAACTAAAAAATTCGAACCAAAATTAGTTCGATTACTAGGGAATACTAAATTCTAGAACGAACAAAAAACACATCATCTCGGCGCTGCATCTTCAAATTTGAAATCAAACAAGTCCACGAAATTCAAAGCACCATATTCGATACTTATTCTGTTAGTTACTCTACTTACATACATCCCTTGCTAATTAGGGACTTGAGGTCCCGATGAATGCTAGAGCTTTGCCCCAAAGTTTCGAAGTTGGATACTTTTGTACTTGCATTTGCAATAGATTGTTATTATTATAAATCCATTAGCAATAGTGTAATTCTGATTCTTCACTGCGAAGTAGACTAATGAGAAGGGACAGTGAGTATGGAAAAATTATTTACATTATTACATCATACTATAGTTGAAGTGTCTTTAGAAAAGTTAATAGAGACACGTTTCATACCATGAAGCAAATAAACTGAATTGTAGATGTGCTATCAAGAAGATTTTGATTGGATCAAACATCAAATTGCAATCCTAACAGTGACATAAGTACTAAAATAGATAGCAAGGATAGCTGATTAATGTTAGCACTGATAGATTGAAAGAAACGTGAAATTTGATATCACACAACGCAGGACTCATGGACTAGCTCAACTGGCTGCCCACGAGATGCTCTTAACAAAGCTGGTCACCAATTTAAGTTCATCAAAAAAAATTTGGTGCTTGGTGGTGGTGCAAACGACCCTAAGCTTAGCTTAGTCAGAAAGCGTGGCGGTTGAATGAATTTGAGTTACATTCTTTGATTGCATGCATATACCGCACTCATTTTTTTGTCACTTTTCTTTTAATTAACCTAGTAAAATAATTTATAAATAGTACTGAATCTTGCCAAAATGATATTGCATCTTCAATAGCAAGGTTTTATTGGAGTAGGAAAATGAAAGAATCTTTATTGATTTAAACTTTATTACAAGAAGATATTCTTTTTTACTTGAAGATTTTGTATCTTTCAATGTACAGCAACCTCCCACCGATCCGGAGTTTTGGCATATATATTCAAATGTAGGAAAACTGCAGAGCAACCTCTCACCGATTCGGTATTTTGGCATATATACTCAAATGTAGGAAAATTGCAGAGGTGGAGTGACGGAACGGATTAAGCAGCACTCTTATTCAGGATTGTGGATCCTCCGGTCTCGCGATGTGTGTGTTTAATCACCGACATGTTTCATCCAGTATTATGATTGGGAGGAAACGTAATTTACATTCCAAGTATGTACTTAATTTTTGTCTTAGCTACGAGTCTCGACAGATTTAATTATGCAAGAGGATTTCTCGCGATGTGTGTGTTTAATCACCGACATGTTTCATCCAGTGTTATGATTGGGAGGAAACGTAATTTACATTCCAAGTATGTAGTTAATTTTTGTCTTAGCTACGAGTCTCGACAGATTTAATTATGCAAGAGGATTTTGTCTCATGAGATGTTTCGTTCGAGGATTTGACCGATGTTTGTGAGTGTACCCAATCATTTGTCGGCCAAGTGTTGGCGTCGTGTACTCGGCTTGATGACTATAGATGTACTTTTGACTGCTCACTTTGTCATTGTTTTTTCACTTTGATGTTGACAAAGAGTTTTCTCTCTTTAAGGATGGTAAATAATTGTCCTGTGTGAAGGTTTGGCTACTTAATCCTCATTCTGTCCGGATTTTTGTAGGAAACAGAATTTGACCAATGTAATTGGCTCGCAGCGTGAGGTATAATTTGCAATGTTTGATTGGTAGAAGACTATCACAATATGCATAGATTCAATCTTGTAATAGTTAGCGTCTACTTATTTCTGGACACTTTCGGTACTGACGAGAATGTCGCTATATTCACACATGTCGACGAGGTAATGTTTTTTACTGTTTCGTGCAGAGGTTTGTGAAATTATTGGCTGCATCAAGTTGCCTACCTTTCGCTTCGCGTTCAACCGTATGTATCAGCTCAAAGTGCATTTTGATGATTCGTTATAAACTTGTTTCATCCTACTTTCAGATGAGGATGTTTTTATCCCTTCCATTACTCAGTTCACTACCTTTCCTCACAGAATTAATTTACTCCAATCGTTTTACCGTTTTACACTAGGTCTTACCATGCTCACGTTGTCATGAAAGGTCTATTCAGTGTGATACATAGTGGACGATCAACAACAATTGTACCGTAAAATTTCACTGTCCACAGCTGCTAGAACAATTATTCCGCTTCCTGTTGGCGAAAATGATACTACAGTTACCATTCTCCATCCACCATTCTCCATCCACTCTCGGTGTAAGCACGTTAAATCCATGCTCCTACAGGCACACTTCATCTCAACTTACACTTCTGCGTTATTTCACCTCCACCACATCGTTCAGTGACTATTTCCATGCTTTTCGGTCCTCGACCTATTGTTGGGCAAAGTTAATCTGAAGCTGCCCACGATAATCTTGGTCATAGAGGTATGATACTCCTCCCTCATTCTCTTGTCTGTGCTCCATCAAATTAAAGGCCGCGTGCATACACAGATATGTACAACCAACCCACCGGGAAGAGATAAACCCTAACATCGCTGACATTTCTGACTGGCAGTTGATATGACATCGACAACACTCGTCCACTTCATAATCTGCAATTTGCTCAGCAACCTCTTCTCTTCGCCCCCTGACTACTAGTGCATACAGATCACTTCACAAGAGAATCTCGAACTCTACGTTCGAATCAAGATTCTCGTGACAGTCGCTACACGGCAACTCGAAACTTAATTGATGTGTAGGCTATTAAACTCGTAGATCATAACTGCACGACAGCGTTCATCCCCACCAGGTCCTTGGACCTCAACCGTATAATGTGACTCCAATGGGATAACAGTATAGACATTCACGTGAAAGTATCAAAAAACACAAAAATGCAAATTCATGTCGTACCACACGCAGCGATAGCAGCCAAGTAAGTATACGAAAAGGCACACAAAACTCTGTACAAATATTGCATCGATTAAATGTGAGGGCTTAGGCACGACAAGTGGACAATCTCAGGCACAATCTTGTAGATGAGTGTGTTGGATGAATAAGCCGGCAATGAGTAAAAACATTTGTAGGACGCTAAATGACCTGTTCTGCTGTCAACATTTTGACATTTTTCCGATAGCAAAATTGGTTTATAGAAGTGGCTCCCATCCGTTAACGGCGGGGGCAGCCTCCCAACCTGTGGGGACGACAGTCGGGGCGACGTAGGGGGCAGCAACAGGGGCAGTCTCCCAGCCAGCTGCAGCCGGTGGGGCGGCGGCCACCCACTCAGCGGGGGCAACACCAGGAGGCAGTGCCACGGCGGGAACTGCAGCGCCTTCAGCCTCCCATTGTCCGGCCTCAACACCCTCCCATTGACCTTCGGTGGCCACGAGAGCAGACGGTGGAACATACTCAGTGGCGGTGAACTCAGCTGGGCCACCTTCCTCCTCCTCGCGGTCCTTGGTTTCATCGGGCTCACGGTAGAAGAACAAATCAACCATAACGTCCCATGGGCGAGTGGGAGTGATGGTTCCGCGCATCTGCAGGACCATCCTTGCCAAGAGCCAGAACAAGCATCCGATACTGTGCTTACCCTTGTTGTTAGCGGGGATAGCAATGTCAACATGTCGCATGGGCGAGTCCGTGTCGCAGAAAGCAATTGTGGGAATGTTACCCAAGGCCGCTTCTCTGATGGGCTGCACGATTCGATAGGGTTTTCAAAAATTAGGTTTCTGACAAATTGACAAAATAAGCTCGCTCTAGTTGAGCGCTCAGCCCATGACGGAATTGGTTTCTTACGCAATCCAGCCCAGATCGACAATTCCAACTTCCGAATAAACCCCTCACCAAATTCTCGAATTACTCCAAAAATCAACACATTACGGAGGCCACGTGCTCACCTGGTGATCGGTTCTGGGATCAGTCAAAATCAACAAGCGAGGCTCGCTGAAGGTGTTCTGCAGCTGGTTGGTGAAAGTTCCTGGAGTGTGGCGACCGGCGATGGCCTGAGCGCCGGTGTACTGGGCGAACTTAAGGACGGCCCTCTGTCCGTAAGGGCGAGCGGACTGCACGATGATGTCCTGTGGGTTCTCGATGGCCACAATGACGCGGGCAGCGAGCTGCAGCTTCTCCCAGGTCTTGCCCAAGTTGATGATGAAAATACCGTCAGTTCGGCGGCGCCAGACGTACCGCTCCATCTGAAAGTCGCAATTCTTGGTGCCGAGATGCACATCGGCAGCGAGCATCATCTGCACATCTGCTTCTCTCTGAGAGAGAACCATCTTGCCGAATTTCGAAACCTGTCTGCTGCTGCAGAGCCAACCTTCCCTTCGTTCTTTGCTGCAACAGCACGGTCGATCAGCGAGCACGCAAAAGGAGTCACAATTCGATTCTCTGCGAGTTTAGGGGTCGACGAGCTGAGCTCTCTCCTGCCCCGACCCGCACTTCTCACCCCGCTCCACCGCAAACCCTAATCGCCCCCGCACCTTCCCGCTGCCGTCGATCTCTGCCACCGTGGCGACTGACCTCGTTCCCATATATTCTTGTATTATTCCGAACCCTCGCCGCTTAGCTCTTCGACGCACGTTCTCCGCTTGCTGTACTCCAAATATTTTGCGGTGATCGCAGTTCTAAATAATCTCCTTGACTGCTTTGATTTAGCTGTGAAAATTTCTATTCTAATGACGTGATTTTGATACCTTCTACTGATTCTTACTTTCCACATATGACTTAGGCGTTTCTTTACAGCTGCGTTCTTGATGTACAAACAGAAATTAACATTTTATCGATATCAAATCTTTTACGAGATCCCCATTATATTTGGTTCTTGTGATTTACATGTTTAAGAAATATTATTTGATATTGAACATGAGAGTAATTCCTCCATCAGTCCCGGCCGAAACTACCCTGGCATTTGTTAAGACTTCTTATTTTTACAGTCTCGACTATACTTTTCTATATCCAATGTTACAAGATTTTTCATAAATTATATTATTTTTTTCCAATTATTTCCATGTCCGTACAATAGCAAAGAACACAATGGATTATGGACTTCTTCTTTGGGGATTCCGTTTAGAGTTTCATAACAACAAAGAATATGTGAAATAATTACTTCCAGGTCACTCACATCAATTTTAATCTCCATCTTAAAGTGTTTACGATGAAGGCGATGAACCTAGGTATTTTATGTGTGCGGCCAATCATCGAATTGGTGAATGTACAGTATAAGTGAGGTAAACATATAAGACAATACAATATTTAGTTCCAGGCTGTTTCTATGAGGATAACTAGATTTTGAAGATGGAATGTATTGAAATTTCACGTTAAATTTGTTTTACAAATACACATAAAACCTTTAAAGATGTGTTCTCTTTCTTTTAAATCTCTTGAGAATTATATTTCAATCCACTTTCTACGAATAACTATTCTGTAATCGAAGAAGTTGCAATTCGATCGAAAAGCATGCGTCGTTCTTATTCTCAATCAAGACAAATGTTTATAAGTTCATTTCAAAAATGTGTATATACAATCTATGTACACATCATATACTAATGTGATACTAGAATATAACTTATTTAAATTATTGATATTTTCGTGCATGGATAAAATTTAGATTTGAATAGTTTGTTTTGTATCTTGCGTGATGTGTTCTTTAAAATGTATCCACCTGAATTATCCTTCAACACAAATATTTAAGAGTAAACTTTTTAATACATCTGGAGCGAACTTGAAGAAAGACACATTTTTACTATGGAATATAATTAATCCAAGTTAAGAGACTAGTGTAATATACTCGTCTTCTAACTAAACCGTATTCTATACTCTGCTAATGTGTGCATTAACAGTATCACAAACAACAAGGTAAAAATAAGGTGTTTATTGAAACTTGGTTATTTATGATTAAAATAGCACATTAGAATCTACCCAAAAAAAAATCTCCGTTGGGTTTCACAATAGAATCATCACTCGAAGAATTGTTTTGAATGTTTTACTAATGTGTAAAAAATTCGCAATTTTCATGAGTGCAATTTTTGATGAAATTGTTTACATAATAACAAATATTTGAATTTCTTTTGAGAAATGCATCACATTTTCTTAGTGCTAACCTAATTAGCAGTAGTGCAAAATTGATACGAGTGTAGTGTAAAGTTAATAATGGAAGGAAATTAAATTATTTTTCCAAATTCATCTAGCGTAGTTTACGCGAACATAGGTATTGTTTTTAGTGTGAAAAACAGTTGACAAGAAAAGTTCATCTAAGAGGTGAATTGAACCGAGTACTCCAATCTCATCTATTTGGTTTATCTTGGATTGAGATTCAACCTAAAGTTTAGACAAATGGAATATGCTAGGAAAAAATGATTGAGTCTGTGTCCATTTTCGTTCACAGTACCTTAATTTCTTTTCAGATGACGTCTATCTGAACACTCATAGATTGACACCCTTTTTACACTCCTTGAGAAGCAATGTATCTTGCATTTTCCTTCATGGTGTCACTGAATGCTATACCACCGAAAGCTCAGATGGCATGCAATTCATCCTTGTACCCAATACTTTGCAGACCCATAGTGGGTGGGTACAAGGATACAACCACTGTTGTTACTCAAGTACCTTAGATCTTGAGGTTGAGCGTTGGGAGGTTCAGATTTGAATGTGGAGCCAAACCTTGTGTACAGAACTGTGTTTAGGCTTTGAGCTCGGTCCAGGAGAACTTCAGCCAAAACCGAAGGAGGAAATGAGTTGGGGATAAGAAGGCCATCAGCTAATTTTCTCAAGTGACCTACACATCAAATAAATTTTTAATTTATTGAGAAGACAAGACCATATTTCTGCAACCCTAACCCTTTACCGCTCAAATCGTCAGAGGCTTAAGAAAGCCCGGTAAGTAAATCATCCATACTTGCTTTGCGAGAGAATCTGTTCAAAAAGCTTCTACAATGAGCTCAGCGCACTTTGTCCGAGGACTCATAGCTTGTAGGAGTATCGTCTTTTGGTACATATATGATGAATCATCATGAATGATTAAAAATAAAATATTAACAAGGAAGACGTAGGAGATGGTGGATTTCTAAGACAATCTGTCAGTTTTACTATTTCGACGTGACTATTATTTGCCTGAGTATGCTGTGAACGAATGGATACACGGTTGCCCGTTGGATGATAATGCGTGCTTCTTCATGTCACTTTGGCGAGCTGTGAAAGGAAGATGTGGGGTTTACGGGTTTGCATACGTTGTGAATACGACGATGAAGTTCACTCCTGTAAGTCAGAATCCGTCACTCCTCAAGGTTCGAGAGAATCACTTCCCAGTAGTCACAAACTGCGACTGTACTTTATCTTTCTATATTGCTAGTCGATATTTCTTATTATCCGTGAGAGCTTCAGCGCGTGGATAACTAGGACGGAGACAACAGTGTCTCGACAGCGGCTCACTAGTCAAATCCTATCTTAGCGCTCCTCCTCCAGCAGTTCAGAATCCAAATTGCGGGACCCATAAAGATGTGACACATGAGTGGACCTAGAAGTCGACATTCTCGTACCAAATCAATGATTCAAAACTTTCCGCTGGCATCGACATAGACCTCGTCACAATGGTTAAGGCGAGCTTTATAAGTAGGGTACATTCTCACACGGAGCAAAGAAGGATTGCCCATGACTAATTTCTGCCGTCCTTTTTACTTACAAGGTTTGTCAACTTACTCATCTTCAATACCGAAACAAAACTATAAAGTTGACCATGCGAATGGTTAACCTCCTCGTCTTCCTGTTTGATCAGGGACCAATGGTACATCTCTACTTGCCTTAGGCTTATCAACGTTTCGCCTCTCTCGACTTTACAAGGGATCCATGACCAGCTTTTGATTGCCAACGTGCGACATTTATGGTGCTCCTAGCATGTTGTTCTCTGGACATTAAATTCTTGCGTTCAAGTGTCCAGTCCTCAATATACAGGTTCCAGCGCTCTCGAAAGCACAGATCTCGGAACTACATCTTGGCTGCGAGGATAGGAAGCTACGAACAGTGGAATACGCAGATGCACTGCACTTCTCGTGAGCAATGCTGACGTAATGTCAAAATCAAAAGGACAACACAAATACAAGCCCTTTCAGAGATCTGGTCTCTTTAGCTCCCAGTCATCGTCAATTTTCTTCACGTCCCCAAGTTCGACATAGACTTGTAAACTTTCATCAGTTATAAAAAGCGGGGAGTTTGGCTCAGAATCGAACGCAGCCTTTTCACTCGATGCAGCGTTGGTTGGACGGCATGAAGTGGAATCCCCGGGATATAATTCGTTGCTCATGTATCCACTCCTATGACCAAGTTCACTGCCATAGTGAGTTGGTTCATCTGGTGAGGGTGATGACTCGACACTCACGTATTCTGTTGAAGACTGACCTGGAGAGTGAGCGTACTCTGGATGTTCTGTCGCTCTCTGAAGGATCTGCGTTTCCTCCGGCGCTATCCCCAAATTATCGAAATCATTACCACAAACTTGCAAATAATCAATTGGCGAATCTGCAGAATGCTGATAACAAACAGCCATGTTCTGCAGAGAGGACGGCGAGTGTTAAGAAAATAATACGAAAAAATGTCATGCAGCAAACGTGGCCTTGTTTGGAGAGAAGTGCATCAAACAAGACACCGATACGCCAACCAGACATGAACCACCGCAACATCAAGATCCAGATAATAGCAGGGTTGTACATTTTGGCTCCAAGTTGTCAGGCATAACCTCGATAGGTTCCTTGTTGCGGCTATCTTGAGCTCCACGTTCTTCGAACAATCTCTCGAGTATATCCAAAATCTCCTGCCTCAGCTGCGAAGCTTTGCTGGGTTTGAACCAGTTCCGCCCAAACTGCAGATGTCCAATATGCAGACAGTTAGCGATAGGTAGAACACAGATCGTGGTAATTCGAAGCAAGAACATGAGGTATAAGTGCACCTCCTTGTCAATAAACGACTCATAACGATCTAAGGCAACAGTGTCGTAACCGCTTCTAACTTCTAGCCTCCCCGTTTCATGTAATATTTGCGACTAGTGAAAGGAAAAGTTTGAACCCTGCAACTTTTATATATAACATCATCCAATTTTCTGTCCTCTCCACTCCTACCCGATTGCTGCTCTCCAAATCATTTCGTGTGAACCTTGCAGGCGCTTCTTGTAGGAAACACTGTATGTAATGTAGAAGAAAGAGGCCGCAGTCAGACTCGTTATCTTGTTGCGGGACCTGACAGACATTGCCGCCCTCGAGTCAGCAACTACTCGACCATGATTACGAAGTCAATACTTCCAAGGCTACCAAGTTCAGCCAAATACAGGTCGTTCACAGAAGCATTACGAACTCTGTCAGTCACCTGTTACGGTTTCCGATATCGACTAAATATGATACAGAAACTTCAACAGAGAAAGTGGATAGCTTCATTGAGCTGCTTATAACCTCTTGTATAAGAAATCGGTTGACGAGTAAAAGGAGGTCTGACAGAACATTGACAAACCTTCCCAGTTGTAGAACACAGAGCGTAGAATGTGCATTTCTTCAGCAGAAGGAGAGACCGCAACCTACATTGAAAAGAAGTGTAGACACTAGCAAAGAACGACATATATCAACTTACCAGTACTTTCTTTGTGGTAAATTCCATTGAGATGCCTTGACGCGGGCCTCCATTCCCATCCTCTTCGGCTTGGTGAGCCCATTCGGTCACCATATACCTTAAGTCAAAGACAAAATCAAAACATTAGGGAAGACAACAACGGTCTAGAAAACAGAACCAGGACTTCTACGGGGCACCCAATATTCAAGCTGAATTAGCAGAAAGAGCTTTTCGGAGCTCTTTCTCCTTACAATTATGAAAAGAACAGTTTAATACACTAATTGTTGCGTCAAGCAAGTCTGAGTGCCTGCAACAAGAGAGAATGTTCAGTTGCCGATCTACAAACTTGCTCAGGGCGTTGAAATACGAAAGGTGCAATGCAGTTTCTCTTGAACATTTCGGGAATATTGAGAGACTATATACGCTTGGGATTTTTTACGTGATGAGACTATGAGGCGTTACTCCAGCATTCTGCAGTGAGAACTTATTTTGCCAAATTGTCATTTGACCAAGATGCTTAAATTTGTACACAATTTCATTTTCAAATAATTTTCATTACTCTCATTTGAAGAAGTTTGATACACATAGGAGTTAAACAAATAACAGAAATTCAGAAGTCACCAGACATCAGAGGTATCAATACAGGACAACAACAGCAAACCTATTCATAATCACTCTTTGGATAATCCATGGGTGTGGCAAACCGTCTAGGAGTACTTCACCCTCAAACCAAGACAGTTAACATATCCACATCTAGCGCCTTTACTTTGATCTGCTGTAACCGTCTGTGACTTACATTTTCAACAACCTGAAAACGCCGGCACTCTTGTGGCCTGGATTCATGGAATCCAGATGGAGAATGCATCGTACCGAGTCGCTATCGTCATTCTTTACACCAGGATGGCAGATGATAGCTAGACTCCAATGAAATCTGGGGAAGAAACCATGAGATCTTAGAACCCAGTCTGCTAGGACCGACGGACTTACTTTTAATTCAACAGAAAATTCCACACATATAGAGAAGCCAGTATGAGATATATGAAATAAAGGTGTAGGTTCATCGAAAGATAGCTATAAAGTGGAAACTAGTGTAGATAGCACACAGCGCGGATAGACTACAAGGAAGAATGAGGACCACTTATATGGAAAAGAACGTATGAAGAACTAACTTGTCATGTATAGGAACAAAGAGATAATCTTTCTCGAACACGTTTGTCCCTTTGGTCCACTTCCTCAGCTTTGATAGATCAGCACCCTGTTTTTTGCTGTGCTGCTATTTGGACGATGGCATCAAAGTATGCAGCAAGATTAAAATCCTGTTGTTACACTGGCAGTAGAACCTCAACTAACTTCTGAAAACTTTTAGACAAATAAATGAGCCGCCATCTTCCTCGCAAGCTTAAATGACAACCACAATCGAAATAGGTCATGGCGTTGAGTACAGAACATCTATGCATTCCGATCGCGTTTCTATATATGAACTGCGTAGAACATAAAAAGTGCTCCTGAACATTCACCCAATCATCTTCTTATAAAGCTCTAAAACGGATATAAGTAACAGGGATCAAGACATATTGACCAAATATGTCTTGAAGCCTGTTCAAATTGCACATCAAATTCAAATTGCCTTCTACCTGTGTATTAGCAGTCTCAGAAAGCTTCTTATAAAAGAAACTGTTAAAGAAGTGAAACCTCTTCTTCTGTTCAGAACTCAAAAATTCTGGTCTCTGCATGTACCTATAACAACACACGCAGATTTGGTAAGAGACGACAGGAGGCCAAAGTGGGCTTGCAGATCAGAAAACGATCAGGAACAGGGCACAAGGTCACGTACTTAATGTAAAAATCGATGATAGTGTCATTAAGGAACTCCAGAGGTGCAAGCCGTCCAAGGTCTTGATATTCAACTTCCACCGCTTCAGGGTCTTCCTTAGATGGATAGGCCAGCTTAACATCTTCCATCCTACACAGTTTTGAAATAAAGGATCCATTTAAGACTATCCTTCGGGACAAAAACTTTACGACAAAGTTTTCAGTAACCGATTGATATCTGCGCAGATTCTCGCCGATGTACCGCTCTATTTTTCGCAATTGAGGCTCTTCAACTAAGTCAAGAGAAGACAAAGTTATTCCGATCACATTCATCCCAGTCGATGGAGCGAATATTAAACAATCAGTTACACAATACCAACAAAAACTTCAAGCATAAATGTAACGTAAGCAGGTATTAGAGCTAGTTCCTGTCAAACAAAAGTGTCTGAAACAGCCTACCTGCGTCCATTTGTACTACGAAGTGCACAGCCTTTTTGTTGATCTATATGCAAGGGCTGAAAAACAGCACTCATATCGCCTGTATCGTTGTCTTCCTCATCGGAAGAAAAAATTTCCACAACTGGACCCTGCCATAGAAGAATCGCAGTAAGGTAAGCAGGCAGTAATCCAATGAGCAGTACCTGAAATTCAGATAAACGATTTCCTTTCATCTCGCAAGTTCATGAGAAAAAGGATCAGATACGTGGTCGAGGTCTCGATCAATTCTTACCGCAGGCTCTTCAGTGTTAGGACTATGCCGACGTCTTTTAGCACCATTAGACTGTTTAAGCGAGTCATCATCAGACGATTCAGAAGACTGAACAATACACAACAAGGAGTCTCAGCTCCGATATCCAAACAGATCTGAACATAGTAAATAAGACTCAACTACCTAGACAATCGCAATTCCTGAGTTCGATGCAAATACTTTTCGATACTCCAATGAAGACTTCTACTTTCTCTAGGAAAAAGAAATAAGGTCCACATCTAACCACGATGACAATTTCTTCAGCCTCAAAATGAACGTAAGTGGTTACGCACGTTGCTTAACTGTCCATGTTTTGAGGAGTGCAAGAGGGAACCGTTGAGAGGAAAAAGCTTCCTGTAAAACAAGAATCCAAAATACCATCAAGGACCAGACCAAGCTCGCTGATCACTGTTCTAAGAAACAACAATTTACAGCAATAACCACGAACCATGCAAAGCACAAGATAGCAATTTTGATTCCCTCCTAGAGCTTTTAGAACTTACTGGCTACAAGAAGGGCAGTATACTTCGCAGTCAACTCCTGTTCCGATAGAATGAAGATTGGTCGGGCTCACCATCCTATCGCATCCATTGCAGGGCTTTAACTGGCCAGATCGTTCCTGTCTAGAAGATGGTCCGGCTTGCTCACCGGAGTTAGCTCTGGTCTTATTCTTCACTCTATCATAGGAAGAGTCCTCAGCAATGGACGGGCGCTGCACAGGAGGTCCCTTCCCTCTGGCCGAATGGGGAAAATCGATTTCTTCACTGTACGGGGACCCACTGCTTGTACAGCCTCTATTTGCATTCTCATCTGTCTGGAAGGAACAAAGGTTGCTAGATAAGGCCACACTTCACTCACAACTACAGTTACTAGCCAGTCGCATGCGCAAGCATAGATGCAAAGAGGATGGGTAAAACGTCAGGTTTACAAGCATTGATCAAAGCCAGCATGAAGCGAGAAATTCATCTGCATGGCGAAACTTTGTACCTTTGATGATAACGTCTCCACCATCTTCTTAAGGGTGATTGCCCGTGTTCTGATGACTCTCCTCTCCGGCTCCTCAACAACTGGACATCCCCACTACTAAATCATTATTTGAAAAACAGAACCATTCCCCTACCTCCACTGGATTCAGTGCCTCCAAAAACAGCAAGCTGAATAACAAATACACAACACACTGCACGATAGTTGATGTTCAAAGCGAAAGGGGAAACACCAATATTACCACCTCTAATGTCAACTAACTGAGTGATCTCTGCAGATAAACTGAAGTACGAACAAAGACACGTTTGAGAGTACGCACAGAAACGAGGTCTGGCTCAATCAAAGTGGACAATGTTTGCCATTCTACGCTAATATTAGGGGAATCACATACCTCCATTTGAGCCATGATGTTTTGAGGCAAGCTTTGTCTCAGGTGCTTTTGAAGGCGCTACCTGGAGAGACCCCAAGCAAATCAACAGGAGGAAAATGAGCACAAAATACTGAAGTTAGTAATTGACAACCAGACATACTGTGTTCACATCATGGAAACCACACCCTCCAGACTACGTCTAATAAGGTCCTGAATCAGGACCATAAATCGTTGTCCTCGATTTCATCCCATCAGGACGAGTGCGTCAAGGTAACGTTTGAACAGTCTCTGAATTTCGACTTTCATGATGAGGAAGACATTCAATTATCGGCATTGGCAACGTTTAAGAGTGGTAGGATCACGTGGTCACGGACGTCAAAGCCTCCATCTAAATTGTGAGCATGAGTAAGAGGACTCATCACTGAAGGAAGCTCAATCAGAATATAGCAGCTGATGTTCATAGGGGCACAACGAATAACGCATGAATTACAAGATATACCCACCAACTTAGATTTAAAATTCACATTCACTACATAGAAGCTCCATCGAATTCCTTGAGGTAGTAACCTGATCAAACAAAACCAGCAGGGGACCATACAAGTCAGGTGTAGGAGAAGCTGAACTGCAAAGATAGTTGCACCATATGCCACCTCACCAATAACCCCGACGTTTACTGAGTGCTGTATACACCAACTAAGGTTTGGTCACGTCAGGCGCAGGAAATAGTAACGCGCTCTAAAAGAAACTAGAGATAAGATTTGTGGGATAAACAGAAAGAGCCCATTAAAACTTGGGACTTAGAAGCATTAAGTGGACTACAAGAAAAACAGGTGAAAGGGATGCTAATCGCAGAACTAATCTCTCCTTGCCCACTCTATACAAAACACAAGCGTTATACAACGAAAACCTCAGGACTTTGCCTGCCGGGGCACAAATCCGAAGCTCATCACCACAAAAACAAGAAGTTTGAGAACCACCCTGCTACTTCCACAATGTGTACATAACAGATTGCATGATCAACTGCAGGCCTTGGCATGCAGGGGAACCAAAGACATACCAACCCGAGGTGGTACGTTACACTGGTGTCAACTAAGTAGGTAATGGAAGAGAAACATGAAGACAAAACCCAAGGATAGAATACCGTGGCAGCTGAATAGATAAGAATAATGCAGCATGATACACACAAAGATTAGTAAACCGAAGAGTCTATGTAAACAACCCCTCTCTGGAATAGTGTTTCGATTTTTGTGTCAAGATCAACAAGAAAACTGTATATATTGCTGGTCAGTCAGTAACGCATTCAGGTCAAGAAATTATACATTGCCAGTGATCATTTCCTCAGACTGATGTGCTGACCACACCAGATTAAGCGTGGAAGTTTAATTAAGAGTGAGGAGTACTTCATAGAGAGTTTGACTTCGAAATCACTGCTCCGAATGTACCTGAGGGTTAGAATGAGTTTAAGCAACGGCAAGTGCAAGAGACTCCATCAGAGTTGTCAGAGGAGAGACATCATCTGCAAGAGATCGATCTAATTAAAAGCTGCAGACTGAGTATCAAAGGACTAATGAGAATTCTTGAAACATACATGCAAGCGTGATAAACTGATGTTGTCTAGAATGTGGCTCTCTTAGTTCTTTATAGACCTAGATTTCCAGTTGAAGAACAGACTCGTGGCTGGCAAGTAGATGGAACAGCAGGTGTCAAAAGAGACGATCTGATTAGTACTCAGGGTTTCCGATTACAGACGCTCCCCGCTATATGGGTTGGGCGTACATGAGATCCTCGAACTCGAGACGGTTGATGAGTCTACCAGAAAGAAGTGTTCAGGAATGAAGAGCAACCCTTAGACGCAGTTCATTCGTGTGTGAACAAATAGAAATTAGCTAAGAAGCCGGTACAAATAGTTCCCATGGGAACCCCCGGAGGTCTTAGAAACAAAAGTACAGGTTATCCAGAAAGAAATTCAACCAGTTGGAGACACGAAACCCTCTCTGTGATGAGGAAAATTCTTAACTTATAACGCAAAAGAACCCATGAGATGAAATCGAAAACTTGCAGTGGTCGATAAGAAAATTTCTTTGTACTGTAATATGTACTTTGTGGTATGGATAACACAGTACATTATCAACCTAAAGTGCCAGAAGACAGAAACCATCTCGACCAGCTCAAAATCTCAACGTAACTCAATATGTATATCGAATGGATGCAAATATCAAAATAATAACAAAGAGTTTAGAGTTTAGGGTTTAGTCAGTGATAGGGTGGAAGTGAATGGGAAAACTGAAAATGAAATCAAGTCCAGCTGTCGATATGACAGTCTTGAGAAATTACGCGGGCAGCACGGAAGTGCCAGTCCCACCAAGAAAGGCATCCGGTGACCATAAACAATATTTGAACAAAAAGCGTAAGTTCATCAAACAAGTTCATCAACCAAGTAATGAGAAGTTCTGAAGATATGACCGTCGTTGTGATGAGGGGCATTCTGAAATCTCTGGACGCAAATGAACCCGACGAGATGAAATAGAGAGCTTGCAGTGGTTGATGAAAAGAAATTACTCCTGCTTATGTAAAGAAACATGAGTAAGAAGATCCCTGACTAGTTTTGCTATCCGCTGTTTGTGATAAGCAAGGTGTATTCATGTACAATATACAAAAGTCGAAGCATGAGATGAGGAGCGGTATGCAAGATTCAGAATAATGGGGAGTACGTTAGATTCAAGAATGGATGACGATGCAGACGCCAGGAGAACTATCTTAGATCTATATAGAGAGTGTACGCAGAGGACGTTGGTGCAGAAGTGTAAAGAGGACACAACCCCTGTGTATAATTTCGTCACATGGAGCTCCTTTGACGTCATGACAGCAACATTTTAACACTACCTCAGCTGATGGCACCAAAAACATGATCGAAACTTTTGAGCCTTGCTTCAAAGCCCAAAACTCTTGCTCTTAAGCCAAACCTTTTGGTGCCAACAAACTCAGCAGATGGCAGAGCTAAAGAACAAACCCTTTGTTGGCGCCTGGAAGCTCAGAAAAGACATCGTGCATGGGACAAATTCCTATTTAGGAAACGATACTCTTCAATCTCAAATCTTTCTCCTACATCGAAATCAACAACGCTCGTTGTGTTGGATTTGCCATTTGAACGGTGAAACACAACAAGGCACAGACAAGTTACTCCGATTAAAGACAAACCGGGACAGACTCAACTCGTACGTCACCGGCGCTGCGCCAGGATAAAAATTGCTACGCTTTAAAGATCAGGAACCAATATAGTGAATATGAGAGAGGAGAGACTGCTAAGTAGGCTTACTTGTGGTTATGCATCCCAAAGTTGTCCTCATCCGCAAAGAGGGTGCTCCTAACTGGTTCTTATGAACTCCCGTGAGTTTTAAGGAACATCAGCCAAGAAATGTACTAGTCAAATCCTTAATTTGACTCTGCTTCGAAACACCCACTATATTTCCCGAAAAGAAGGAGTAGCGAGATTATGACAACCTATTAGATGTGAGGTTCAGTATATATTCTTCGAATTCTCCAAAAGGGCAGTAATCTTAAAATCGAAATGATGTAGGCAACCGACGTCTGTCCAGACAACATGCTCAAGGTGGTGTACAATCTGCTAACCGGAGGAAAAAGAGACATGGCTGAGAAGGGTAACGCAGGCTCTTAATAATAAAAGGCGGTGTGCAGTAGGAATTCTACGGATTTGGTATATGAGTCTTGAAGTTTCCAATACTGAAAGCATATGGAGTTCTTTAGGTGATTAGCGGAGCTCGTGAATATCGCTGTCAACCTTTGTAAGGTAACGGGTTGTCGGGCGGCGGTAGCTGTTGTGGCGCTCAACAACGCTATCAGACCGTACGTTGCTTCCCTCACCTTCTACAACAATTGCACGTAGAAATCCAAGGAGCCTGGACCTCGGCCCTAGATGTCCAGTATACAGTGCTCGCCATGTAATGGATTGTACATGCCTGCAACTTTCTGTGTACTTCGAAGTTCCATACCTCTGAAGCGATTGAAGTCAACCACGCTGTGCATATGACACATTGACAACGTAACTTCAGAAACATCTCGTCTGTGATCAGACTTCGCATAAAAACTACATCCCGGGTTTCATTTGAAGCAATCAAGATATGTACACAAGTACATAACAGTGTTTTAATTCAGCCACAACACAAAGATGACGATATTTCTTAACAGGTCGCGAAAGCTTCTGAAAGAAATCGAGGGGATCTGCTTCATCCGTGCAATTGACACTGCCTACCATGTCCCTGTCCGAGGGAGGACAAGTTAGTCAACTAACAGTAAATATCCGCTTGAACCGCCAAAAAGTGCAGGCCAAATCTCGATTGCATTGACAATGGAACAACCAACAATTTCTCACGACGGCGGTTTATTTAGTTGAAGAAGAATGTAATATGGGATATTAAGAAGGTTGTTCAACGTAGAAATCTTCGAATTAGAAATCAATTTAGTACGACATGTTTTCGTGCAGGCAGTCAAGACAACGCTCACGTCACCCGTTGTAAAGAGAAATTTGGCAAGACGAGAGGACACATTCAGGTCGAAGTTATGTATGTGGCTGATGGGACCCGTCAGATAGAAACGGAGAAAACAAGGACCTAAAATCCAGTCAAACGACCAGGAGCAATAGATTGTGGAACAACCTGCTCTGACGGTCAGAAGGCTCGGCGACAGCCACCAGAGGGACGTTAATCTACCTACAAGGGGCGAGACAATAAATGCTCATCATTCCCTTGACGTAGAAGTAGCCTTCCTTGTGTTTACATTCCGGAATTCGGTATTCGATCGTCTTCGGGGAAAATCTTAGCGTGTAATTTCTAATCTGATGAACGCAACTGACACACTGACGAGAACTATCTTCGAAACTCCAGACAACGGCATAATGTGGTCCACAACATTTGCTATAGTTCGCACTGAATTACTTGAGCATGTGAAGAGGTGCAGGTTTTGAATCTCTAAGCACGTGGACACGAAGAAAATCTCAGCCCACAGACGGTTCAAGCGACTGTAGCACCAGCAGGTAATGAGACAATGATCGGTTACTCTTAAAGCTACCAGTGTAACGCTTTGAGATTGTAGCTCGATACATAACCGAAGAAAACTTACACTTTTTCTTACCGACGAACACTCCTCCAGAGACTTCTTATCGGATCCCGGCAAGTATATCAACTGCATTGGACCATTCAATCTTGGACCCAAACAGACATTATCTCGCGCTGGCAAGCGTCTCCAGAGCTAATTTAAGAGGTCATGGTCAGACCACCAGTTCGATTTTACGTGAGTTTCGGGGCAAATACCTTCACTACTGCTTGCTTCTCGTCAGCTTTAGCCTTCTTCTGTGAAACCTCGTGTCTTTTCTTCTCGATGTTCCTAATCCTCAGCTCCTGCTCAAACTCAAACAGTGACTTGCGAAGAGAGTTTCCTTTGTCGGGCAAGTGCAACGAAACGAGATGGGTTTTAAACCGCTTGATTTTGTCTTCGAGCTCATGTTGTGGCATTTTCTTATGCTTACGCTCAGCTGGAGGAAGCTCTTCAAAATCATCATCAACTACAAATTCGAGCTGCGGAGGCTCTTCATCTACGTCCAAGTTGTCTACGAGCCTCATATCCAAAGGCTTGTTGCCATTGCCTCTACCAATTCCGGCGTTCGCCATCGAGAACCGTCCGAGAGTCCAATGCGCGCTTCCACGCACACGCTGGCACTAGCCCAAAAGCTATTCATACAACAAGACCGAAATCGTCTGTACAACCGGGGCCGCAGAATTTCCGCCTCCCTGCCCTAATCAAGAAAAAATCGCCGCTGTAGTTCTGGCTGCACCGGCTCTCCACACCACCTGCACCTGCACCTCCCCCTTCCCACACCCCAATCCTCCTCCGCTTCATAATCCTCCCTCCCGACTCACTTACTTCTCCCTTCTTCCTCCGAGCACTTCCTCGTTGCGCCAACTCGCTGCTCACACTATTCTCACGCAAATGTCTGTCGTTCAGACGACGGAGAAAGCAAGCGCATGACCAAACTCATCGACGGTCCGATTTGCAGCACCGATGTTGGCTGCCCCTGCTGCTGCTGGACCAGACTCCCCATCGCATTCCGACGAGAGGATCCGCCCTCCCAGTGTTCGTTCTTCTACTCATGTAAAGCCCTCAGGCGCACACGCCCCCTGGATTCGTCGTCCTCGACGGCGTCTGCGCACATGTCTGCCCTGAAACTGCCATGACCGCTCCCGTCCTTCTTCTGGCTGCTTCCAGGCACCGGTGGGTAGCTCGAGCCCGGAACCACCGTACCCTCCGCTCCCCTCCCGCTGCAGTTACCGGTCGGCCGCTGGCTGTGCGAGAGTTGTCTGTAGCGGACAGTAAAAGCGATCCCTCTGCGACGAGTCCCGTGACGGTTGACCTTTTCTTTCACGACTCGACGATGTTCTTTGCGCTCGGGTCCCACGGGGATCCCCACTCCTCGATCGACGCCCTCCGCGATCCAATGATGCCCACCCGCCGCCCCCACTCCTCCGCTCCTCCTCTCCCGACGCGGTGAGCCGCGCAGTTCAAATTCCACTTTCCCGGCCTCCTGCGCCGGGCCGAAAGCGCGGACGAGGCATTCGAACGAGGCCCGTCTCGAATCTCCACCACGTCAGAAACTCGCGCAAGTTCGAAATCCCTCCGGACTCGCCTTTGAATTGGCGGCTCGGTTCGGACTCCCGGGGCCTCGCACCCAAAACCTTCACCTACGTTCCAACGAAGGTAGATGGACCGTTGTCAATTCAAATTCGTTATCAATCACCTGAGAATCGCGGGTGCCGTACGGGTCATGAGCGAGCCACTCAGAGTGGCTGAAGGGCTTGTAACAGAAAAAGTCATCTTCGAGCTAAAATGGAAGATTTCGGTTTCTGCTTGGAAGTGATTTGATTATTGTCCGGAATTAGGTAGTAAAGTCCATCTTATTATTTTGCAAATGATTTTGCTTCATTCGTGACTGTGGGACATATTCCAGCCATTGGGCGCGCCTGCATGGGCAATTTGGAACGGCCCAAAGTAGTTTGGCCACGTGAGAGAATGTCCATGTGTCGAGATTGATGACCTCGACGCTTGGCGGTCGCGCGACCCCGAGCTCTTCAGACGCCGGTCGCATGGACGCCGTCAGAATCGTCCGTCCGTGGAGGAAGCGGCGCGACGAGAGCCATGAGGACGAGGAGGAGGAGGAGACCGGCGCCGTTCACGGCCGGCGAACTCTCGGCCGGTAAAAGTTCCGAAAGGGTCATGAACAACGACCGGCCAGCGAGAGGAGGCCCGCAACGGGACAGGACGGCATGGAGCGGGGAGCGCTGCTGCGGCGTTGGCGGGCCTCACCACGGCGCTCTGACGCAGCGAGGGGGATGAGATGCAATTATGAAATCCTAGCTCGACATTCCGCTGCCCCGATAGCGAAGCGTGAGCTGAATCCGTATGCGGATTGCGGTGCGACGAATCTCTCTGCCTTCACTTTCACTCCTGCGCAGCTTGTTTTCCCACCTGCCTGCCTGCTGGCTCTGTGTCTCTCTCAGGTGGCAACGAGGCGACATTGCTCTCGCTCTGTTCTGTTCTGCCCTCGCGTTAGTTGGTCGGTTCGGTCCGTCAGGAGTTGCGACTCGGGTGCGTCTGTCGCTCTGTCTGGCTGCCTGCTTGTCTCTTGATTGTGCAGTCGACGGGTCGAGTTGACTGGATTTTGTGATTCGTGATGTGACAATTCAGCTGGCTTTCCAGCGGCGTCTCTCCGTGGGATTGGGATTGGTATCAGGATTGCAAGCGTGTCGTGCAGTGACGCATGACGCTGATGTATGGGATCCGAAGGTGGTCAGTAGCCTACTTGTTGAACTGTGCAATGTCCTGCTTGTTCTTCGTATTTGGCGGCGATTTATCCGTTTCGGATCTATGGCAGCTTGTGATTGGGCTCCGAGAGTTTTGTGAGAGTCAACTGTGGATGAGGCGAGCTTTTCGAATGACCGGGGGAAACGGTGAGGATCAGCTTCTCACGTCGTCGTCGGAGTCTTGGGGCCTTGGAGCTAATAATTGTTGGTTGTGTTGTGGCATCCGAGCAGGTTGCGTGCGTCTCTGCGCTGTGGATAGACGCAAGCTGGGATCTGAGGACGACTGTATCTTCGGTGGATTGTAGAATTGAGGGGTCCGAACAAATTTTCCTCAACAGCAGGAGCAGTCTTGGACCGTAGGCCTGGGAGGGTTGTATATTACCTTCTGATGCAAGGATCTTTCGCGCTACCCCAGCGCCTTTCGCAGCAGTCCCTGACTGTCGTGCACTCTTCCAGAAGCTTTGCTCCTGAGCTGGGTGGTGCATTTCGCATTTGTCAGTTGCAACCTTTTCTCGATTGCAACGCAGTAGGAGACCACGACCGTCGGTACTTTCCGAGCGGGAGAATTGCATCTTCGAAAGTCACTGATATAGTGAATGAGTTCTACCCCGGTAGCCGCGTAAGGGGGCGGGGTTTATCGCTTGCGGATTACGCAGGGTTCAGAAGGATGAGGGGAAAATTGTTTGCAAGTCTTGCTTCTTGTTCTTACCCCACTTCCATGAGTCCGTCTGTTTCACACCGGGTTATCTCGATTAACGGGCAGACTCTGGATCACAGCTCATGGAAAAGCTTAGTATCGGGGATTCCTGGGCCCTTCCGACACAATCCTGCCCTTCCATGGTACAGCGTTCCGTCTGGGGCTCTCAGAGGATTGAAGACTAAACAGTTTGGATCCATTTCCAGTAAAAAAACAGGGCAGGATGTATTGGCAAGAGATAGTGACAAAGGTTCGGAGAAGAAGTGGTATCCTAAGAACGCCACGTTGGAGAAAGATTCAATTGCGGCTCTATACAGCTCGGACAGCGACAGTGGTGATGAAATGGAGAAGAATGAGAAGCTTTATGGCAAAGCCGATACAGGTTTTGATTATGATTCTGGTAGTGAGAGCGATGACGACGAAGAAGACACGAAGAAACAGAAGAATCAAAAGAAGATGAGAGATATGGAGGAGGAGGATTCTGAAAGTGACAGTGACGACGATGAGAGGGAGCTAAAGATGTCGAAGAAGAACAAGATGAAGGAGAAGGTAGAAGTGATAGGAATGTGCGAGGAGCATTCTGAGAGTGACAGCGACGACGAGGAGGAGTTGAAGAAGAAGAAGAGTATGTCTAAGGGGACGGTAGAAGTAGTCGGAATGTGTGAGGAGGATTCAGACAGTGACAGTGAAGATGATGAAGAGAAGGAAATGAGGAAGAAGATGAAGGCCGATGAGAAGGAACTAAAGAAGCAGGCTAAGAAAGAGAAGAAGGAATTGAAAGCAATGAAGAAATTGGAGGAAGATACTGACGTCGAGGATAGAGATAAGAAGAAGAAGCGAGCTGGCAAATCTCATGAAGATTCCCGGATTTTCGAAAGCAATCATGAGCACGATTCTTCGTTCTCGAAGGGCAAGGTACAAGTAGCAGAGATGGAAGAGCGAGATTCAAGCTCTGATAGTGAGCATGATGGAGACGTGGATGATATCGTCGAAGTGGTTTCTGATACCCTGAATGTGGATGAATTGGAAGAGGAGGAATTCGAGCTGGTCGGAGACGATGATCTAGTTGAAGGTACGATGCAATGAAGTAATTTCAGCAAATGTCTCTGAAATTGGTTGATAAGCCCTCTTAGACCATGCTGTGATGCTTTTTTTGTGGATTTGATTTTTTGATCTATCCGATAGCTAAAGAAAGTCCAGCTTCAGACCTTTTTTCCACTAACATGCCGCGTTCACCTTGCCCAAGAGTCCGATTCCTACAAGTCCTCAAATCACGAGTTACGTTGCGACTTGTATGTAGCGTTCTAGACTTTTCGGGACCGACAGGTTATATAACTTGTTCACGTGATATTTTTTAGCAGCAGTGTTAGACTGTAGTTCAAGAAGCACTTATAGACTTTCTGATTCGCTTGTGACTAACTTTGGACAGAGGCAGAGAACGAAATCGAAGATTACTTTGAAGAATTTGAGGACGAAGATCTAGATGACGACTTTTGGGAGGAAGAGGAAGGAGAAGCTAAGGTACTCTGATCTCCTTTCTATCCTCTGCTTTGTTCTTCCTGGTTTGAGGAAGAAAGTGAAAGCTATGAACCTCCATTGGCATCCGTGGTGTAAGGATGATGGGAATCATCTCAAGCTCATGTATACTTCCATGTATATACGATCTCTGTTTTTATGTTTTGCGTAGAAGCTGGATTTGCATTATCTTACCAAGTACATGCGTAGTGATTTGGATCAAGTAAACTTGAAAATGAGTAGCTTACCAAGAAATGCAAATCACTGGTATCCTAAATGTTTATCTTCAGGTTGGTGATGGCGGAGACGGAGGAGGAGTAGTACTTGGTGAGACTCAGTGGGGAAGTAAAGCCTTAGAGTTAGCCGAGGAAGTGGTGAGAGAGATGGGAACGGACTTTTCCATTTTCGCCTTCAAAGCATCTACAGATGGCCTCGTACGAGTTCGTCTTGACAAGCTTTCTGATCAGTAAGTTCTGGATATCTGGCACACTAAACTATGTTCTGATTTTCATCGTTGCAAGATCTTGTGACTTTGAGCGTAGAACTGGAAATTGAGATGAAATTGTGAAAACTGCTTTCTCTTATCTGAAGTTGCTGACAAGTATGAAGGCTTGTGAAGCCTGAACATATGTTGTTAGGGGGTTTTACCTTGTTGTGGTAAAACTTCATCTGTTTATCTGTCACCTAAAAGTTTGTCTTATGTGTCCTGCGTATTGTCCTTTACCTTCTTCAACTGGATCGCTCTTTATTCTCTTGCCCTCTTTTGCAAACAATTAGAGTCGACCCACGCGCTTGTAGCAGAATGGTACGAGCATTTAAGATAGTGAGAACGATATCTGGAGTTGAGAGTAGGTCTCAGTCGATAATGGCCCGCAATGTTATTGATTCTCGTTCCTTACACGGTATGTAAAAATGTTGCTGAGAGGTGTAAAAGACGTATATTTATCTGTCTGAAGGGCTCAATATGAAGCATGCTTCCATCTCAGGATGGATGAAGTAAACTGCTGTACCTCTTCTGCTCTAAAGGTCTAGAAACTCACACGCTACTGGCGGCCACTCACCATCCACTCCAACTTTGAATCTAGTGGTGATTTTGATTCAACCTTCTTTGTTCTGTCTTTGAGTAAAGCCATTTGGGGCCATCCAATCGACAGAATATATGGAGCTGACGAGATCGGGGTTCTTCATTGGATTGATTTGACGTTATTTATTCAAATCTTGTAGATACGGCTCTCCTACGATGACTGACATAGAGAAGTTCTCAAGAAAGTACAGCGAGGTGTTGGACAATTCGGGACTCATTCCACAAAGTGTGGCTGTGGAGGTATGGTTCTTTCTTCGTTTCTGTTACAGAGTAAAACTAAAGTTGTCCTGTATCAGCTTGCAAGCAGTACTCTAGCTTATGGTATGTCGGTCGTTTCTGTTATGGATAGATTGACGAAAGCTTTTACTAAACTTAGGACTTACATAGCATACTGTTGCAACAGTATTGTACAATAGAGAAGATTGATCAACAAGTTGTTGAAGCTCACTGATTGTGCTGCTATATTACCATTTGAGTGTCTGGTCAGTAAGTTTTTCTGAAGATCATTACTCCCTTCTACTTCGGTCAGGTTTCGTCCCCAGGCGCAGAGCGAATGGTAAAAGTTCCAGATGATTTGGAACGGTTCAAGCAGTTGCCTATGTATGTACAATACTTGGAAGGCGAAAGTGTTAGTGAGGAAAAGGATGGTGTCCTGGAGCTGGAATCTCTAGACCCCGAATCTGGGATGACGGTCTGGAAACTTGCTAATGTGAAGTTCAATCGAGAGCAGTCAGGGAAGGGTCGCCCGTTTAATAGCAAGCAGAGGAAGTGGAGAGCCCATGTTCCCGTGAATGCCCTCAAGTTAGTTAGACTTCACCTAGATGTGTAGTATTATCCTTCAAAATATAAGCAAGATGTAGATATCTCTCTCGAGCATAGATGTAAGTATCTTGTTTCGAAGTACCATGTTGGACGTTTATGTGTTACAAAGTAACTAGATTGAGTTTCTTTCACAAGGTATGTACGGCTCTCAGTAGTATTCAAAATCTAATAGACGTGAGTGGTCTTTCAAGTATCTTAGTCCATTGTATTGTTAATTATCTCGGCTATCCATGTCCATTCTGATCGGTCGTGGACTGAAATTTACGCCTTTTTAACTTCTAAGTTGTCAACTATACTTTTCTTGTAAACATGTCTTGTCTCGTCGTCTAGAATATTCTAGACTTGGCGTATCGATCCGATCTGTTCATTTGCTGTGGAGACATAGATTGCGTTTGTCACCTCTTGTAACAGTTGCTCGCCTATTTTGGAGTTTTGAAGATCACACTGGTCTTGGATGTGAAGATGCCTCATCTACCGAAACAGTTGAAGGTTGTTGGCGAGGTGTCGACTTCAGAGAATCTTTTCTTCCATATATTTAGTCGTTTCGCTGAGCTATTTCTATGAGCTGCTTCAGATGTACAGGATGTGGAAGCTCGCTGTGTCTGTTAGATTTCTATACGATAATGACTCGTTTGAATCGCGATTGTGTTTCTGAGACAATAAACAGGCCGTTTCTATCTTGTGAGGCGGAGTTCAGTTCTGAAGATTTGACAGGAAATAACAATGTTGAATACGTGTCGTCGTGCACTCTATAGCTCCATTAGTGTTTGTGAGATTTTGCACATCCGTGGACCAAAATCACGCAGTTCTGCAATGATTTATGACGTTTGGAACTTTGCAGAGTTTGCTGGACATTGATCGAATTAATAAATCACTGTCTTGGTGACTAGGCACCTGCTGGGGATTGCATGGCCTTCCAGACGATGTGCATCCTATATTATTTCACTGTCCTCGAAGCTGTCCCCAGAAGCACCAACTTCCTTACTTCAGTTTGCAGTTTCTAGTTAGACGGCGGTAAGGAACCAATTTTCGACAGCTCAAATACAAGTATAGCAAGAGAAGACGATTTTCCTTCTTTTCACCAATACTCGAAACTGGAAGAAGCCAAAAATCTACACGGTTTACATACTGGGCAATCACTCTCATTCTACTGCATATAAACTCAACCAACGCTTACACTTGGTTGGAAACTTATCGTCCAAAAGCTTCGTCTCTATTGCTGTTAGGAAAATTGCGTTAGTACGTGGGGATAATATCGTCATAGACCAGGTGCTCGAGAATCTGGGAAAGTTTTGGAGGGTCTGTAACAGAGTTGTTTGTCATCAAGACCAACGAGTGAGTGAGATGAAGCCGGGCCACTTAAATGAACCTGGCCCCACGTCCAACCGCTAACATTACCTACTTGATTTTTATTTCCTTTCGACTTTAGACCTGAGGATCTGCTCGGGTCTGTTCCTTGCTATTTATCTATTCATGCGCCGATCCATCATTAAGAGCAAGTCTCAGCATCAGGATTATGGCCAACACGAGTGGCGAGGGGAACCGGATAAGGTCATATCATTTTCATTCTGGATGCGAAGCCAGTATATCATTCTGTAGAACTACTAACTGGGCGCATGTGTCAACTTGAGCGATGATGCTAACTTAGGGCCTAAGCAACGATTGGCCTCCGACAGCTTTTAATGCTCGCAGCGTTGTGTGAGTAAAGTGCTTCCTTCATTTTAACCTTGTGAGGAGGGCAAGGAACAAGCGAAAAAGTCGTGGCTCGAGATTCAACCTTCAGGTTAGGAATGTGAAGATTGGTCACCTACTGTCAGATGCCGGAGCCGATGAGCTCAGTAAGCGGACAGTAAATGATAATTTCTTCGCGACAAAAGGACCACTGTCAAAATCTCGAACGTGCAAAAAATCTCAGATCCGGTTTATTGTGTGCGCAGAGCCTTGTCCGTCCTGCAAGAAAAGCTCCAGATAGATGAAAGCCACTCCCTTCGATCTTTCAAGGAGCACATGCACTCTGCTCTTCTCGATGTATGCGAATTCTCCCAAATGCAAGCCCCAGCTTTCCCTCCTTGGACTAACTTCCCACTTCTTACCACTCCCGATTCTGCAAGAATCAGCAGCCTGAAAAAATCCCATCTGATGGAAACTATTTTGCAGATCAACTCCTTTCCTCGTTACGGGAAATTGATCCAGAAAGCATGCCAAAAAGTGAATTGAGGTCACGGGGATTGAGGTCCTTTCGATTCCTCCGTATATTCAATCAACATATTACTTCATGTTTTAGTATCTCTTCAAGTCATCCGGTTCTTCAATTGAGCATAATTTTTAATGCTCAATTTAGTGCTTTTTACTGGAGTTGATGGAAGTTTATCTGAAGAAAATACAATTTTCAGAAGTCCAACATAGGTTTTGTCTCGTTATAATATAGTGAAACGTCAATATATAATAAAGCGTATCCTAAAGGCCTCGATTAAAAAGTAACGATGCTTCTTATTAAAAGAAAATAAAAGAACTTTACAAGATGAGAGTATTTAGCGATGGAAACTGCAGCTCTTTATAAATAAACATTGAATTAAATTATTCAGATGGATACTACACTTTTGAAAAAAAAAACTAGAATTATGGATTTAGAATAAATAAACTCCACCCTAAGTACTTACATGACCGCCACGTGTCCTGTTCTGCAGTTATAGCGATTAGTGATCTCCGCCAAGTAGGTATACACAGACGAAAGGGACGGAATTGTACACACTTCCTCTGACCATCCGGCTCCATTTCACCTGGTGCCTACATTGGGGCTACTTACGATGTTGGGGTCGACCGTCCGTAGTTAAATGCTTACCGAGTACGAAGAAGAATAACCTTAGGGATAGGAGGACCCCATCAACAGTACGTAGCTACCACATGTCCAAATTGACTCGAACTCTCGTCGTAGTGCACATTTGTGGCGACATTGTGCTACCAATTACAACGTAAAGCCTTCCCTGCTGTCCCTTTCGCCTTCGCCATTGTCACCGTCAATTTACATTGAGACCCTTTTCTTCAGCAGACTTGGACCATCAATTGTACGGCCACATCATGCATCACCAACATAGGAAACGGGGCTTCTGTACACGACACGACTCTGTCAGAAACCAGTTACATAGTTTTTACAAGTGGATGGACTCAGTACGTATTCGATTTCATAGAGTGAATGAGTTAATGGGTTGCTTCGCTATGGGACTTTTGAAATGCCATTGTCTTTCGTGAACCCTAACCAGCAACTCCGTCGGCAATAGACAATCGCCATATTTTTATTGAGATGATATTATAGAACCATCGATACTATTCTGTCACTCTTTTTAAGTCAAAGTAAAACAAATTGGTTAAGGACGACATCAGGTCAAGTACCTGAGTATCGAATGAAATTCCAAGAAAAAATTTTTCAAACATAATCGAAACCGAATCGTATCAATTTCTGCTACAGTTCTAAATAACTACTTTCAGTATTTTGTATCGAGCGACCGAGGACGTACACAAGGCATTTAAACACATGCGGGGAGAAGTATATGGCCATACAGAATTGCCTAACGTATCGCTATATAATTATTAAATACCAGGATTACGATTAACACTAAATTATGATCAATATTGTACTCTTTTATGGTCACTCTCCCTAAGTCAACAATTGAATGGTTCTATATACAATTGGCATATATCATTGAGATGACATTATATCAATGCAAAATTTTTCTTTAAAATCGAAGTCTCAGAACCCATAACTTCGGTTTGCACCAAAACCTTTTGTATTCCACCAGATATTTGAAGTAGTAAACCTACTTCAGTATATGAAGAGCAAAATAGTGTACCATAAAACATAGACTTGGATTATACAAATTAATTTTGCATTGATATAATTTCATCTCAACAATATATAGTGTTGAAAGCACCATTAATGTTTTGACATAGGGAGAGTGACTCTAAAGGAGTACAGTATTGATCATAAATTATTACCAGGCCTCTCTATATAGGGCGTATGTTCCATATCTCAACAAAATAAGGATAATTCTCAAATCGAAATACGGAATATAGGGAACTTGATAGTTTTGGCCGAATATTGACCTAAACTCTAATGTTTTCGGCTGAATTTGTCGGCAATGTTATACACCTTCGAGAGAAATGGGTGTTATCTTTGATCTCTGAATATACTTTCCCATTTTAGCATGGAGAAATCACTCTGCCCACCATTGAAGTGTTCGAAAATTGTCAAACTAATCTTACGAAAAACTCCATGAGTTGAAGAAATCTTTTCTTACAACCTGGAATCAGAGTTTCCGGTCAACAGATTTTTGTGAACCGAGAACATCAATTTCGTAATGTTATGGGTTCACTATTTTATCTATTTATTTTTGTTTCCAAGAAAGTTTGAGACTATCTTGATACTTTAGAACTAGTTAGAAACTTTACAAGTTACTGAGGTAACAAGGAAACAAAATACTAGAACTTGCTTGGTTGACCTCATCAGATGTCGCTGCAAAGTTTTAGTCGAGTACTCAGTTAGTTTGTTCAGTAAAGTCACCGAGATGAACAAAGAAATTGTCACAAACGATCACAGCAAAGATTTAGCTGAATATTTACGATTGTTTCTCTAATAAAATCACCTAGATCAACAAAGATATTGTCAAAAACGGTCACTCCAAAATTTTAGTTGAGTGACTCCTTTAGCTTCTCCTTTAGTAAAGAAACCTAGACAACAAAGACTTTTTGTTATAAATACATAATTTTTTGAAAAAAAAATATGGCACTTTGGCCCTCAAGTTCCGTATTTGCCGTATTTAGAGAGTCCTGATTATTAGTCATCATAATCTTGGTATCAAATACTTGTGAGTACAATATACAAGGATACATTAGTCAAATCCGTATAGCCATACATTTCTACGTGCATGTGCTTAATTGTCTCATTAAGAGGGAAAAAATTTCATGTGTTTAAATGTATTTAAATGATGACATTTTTTGTATTTTCCAAAACAATTACTTGATGTTACCACTCTGGAATGCAACACACTTTCTAGCATACAACACAATTCATTTTACCGCATGGAACACCTCCAACGGACTTGCAAACCATCATCATCCATATTCCAATACAAGTTCTAGTTTAGGTACAACCCACTTGACAAAACAACATCCATTGAGTGTCCCTGACCTTACAAGCAAACAAAGTCATGTCTAATAGAGCTCTTGAAACGCAAGCAAAGTTTTGTGAGTGTGAATTCAAAACTTTTATAACCCAGAAATCATCCACAATCGCAATTTCTTGAGATCAAAGAGCTTTTGAAGTGAAATCTACGGACAAAGCAACGGGCTCACAATTTTGATAACGGAAATGAGCTTCCAAACTATCATAACAACATAAGGAGGAGGAGGGAAGTATAGATGTGTTTGTTTTTTATTGAAAAAAATATGGACAAAAAAATATTGAAAAATGTCTTAAATAAAGACGGTTTTTATTTAAGACGCATTTTATCCGTTTTATAGTTATGTGATATATGTCATGAGCAAATTATCCTGCCATACTAGTAACAACAGAGTGCGTATAGTGATCACAATAGAAGAGATGAGTTTTCATATTTGACAAAGTCATAAAGACAGAGGATTTGCAATGCTTGCATTACGCCCTAACAACCTTAAACTTGGAATCAGACAGAAGCTCGCCGAAGTGATTCCAGTGAGATACTTTCTTGCCACATGTTTAGCCATTATCACTCGATCACGAGGATGCATTTGTCAAATGACTCAAATGAAAAGCATTTCCAGATTTTAAGCAGCTGCTGGACCGCGCATGGTGCAAGATATATGTATATATATATATAAAACAAGTTTTAAACGTATGAAAACATGCAAAATTCCGCAGTTTGATTTCAAATGTATTCATAGAGAGGAGACAAAGAACGCGACTTGAACTTCAGTTTATTAGTGGTCCAAAGAAAATAAATTTCCATGCAATGCAAAGTATTCAATATGTATATCATCTTGAACAAACATACTCATCCACTGGTTCAACATGTGTTATCTCAAGTTGGGCATAAGTGTTTTCACGGGAACACTTTAGCCCACGCCCCCTAAATTCTGGGATTCAACTACAAAATCCCAGAATTAACGGAAATTAAAACTTCCGGCGTCCATAAATTAAGTATGCCGTCAATATCATAGTCCATAGTCAATCACGGTGCTGAGAAACGGGGAATGGACGTTATAAGACGTGTCGAAGTAAGAGCTGAGTTTTTACGAAGAAGAATCTGAAATTGATTTCTGTTTTGCAAATATTGCTTACTGTGCATGAAGCTTTATGATCTAATTCCCATGAACTTCTTACCGGATATCACTGTCTATACATCCTGCATCTAAGACTATATTCCACTGGTTATTATCTTTTACATTTTTTGCCTGTTGAAGATTTCTCATCAATCACCAACCATTGTTGCTGTAATCCATATGTCCTCAAAAGGGTGTAGCATACACCACTTGCGTCTAGAAGTTTGCTCCTTTCTTGCAGTATTGATTTGCGCACTCTTGAACATGTGCAGTCACATTGGCTCGATAATACAATCTCATTTGAAGAATTCCAAGTGTACTTCACAATTGTTTCATGGCACTGAGGGCTCGTGGTTTATACATATTCAGCTTCTAACACTCAAACTCTGTCATATATCTCAGAGACAATTTATCGAAGTCACATTTAGACCATCATCGAGTAATAAAGTGCGTTTCTCAAAAAATCCCAGAATTAACAAAATTAAGAAGAAAATAATCCATAATTTAAGCTAATTTTGGTAATTATGGGAATTCCCGGGCCTGCTTTAGCCTCATGGCATAAGTACTCTCGTACTCTCACACGAGGGGCAGGTCCTTATCCCACACTATAGCAGTCAACTATCGCATTACACTAATTCGTATTGGAACATGGATGACCGGTGGGCTGCAGGGCGTCCGATGTTCTATCGGGTATAAATTATACTCGAGTATTATGTATACCCCAAGGTACCTTGATCATTTTATAAGAAAGTAAAAATGAAATTTTATTACTGTAAAGATGTTATTAGAGTTGTATTAGTGCCAACTTATTCCAATAAATGTCATGCAATGAAAACACCACACTGACTTTGCATCTTAGATTTCAAGAATAATCAATAGCTATGGTAATTCGCAATTTCGCATAAGGCTCTCCCGAGATCCAACATACCGTTTTCTGGAAAAGAATGTTTATCAATATAGGAGTAGAGCTCCTTAGGTACACACATTTTCTTGTAATCAACTATCTGATAGTAACGATACAATCACTGTTCATTCATGATATATGTTTCCTGACAAACTAACAAGACACACGATCACTACCAAGTGGGTGAGAAAGACTTAATACACACGGAAGCAAAAGGCATGAGAACAACCCAGGTAACACTGTTACGAAATGCAATGAATTCAAGCGTATATACTATGTCCTGCACATATTCTGTTGTCAGGCTCAACATCCCTACAACTTCCTGCTTTTCTACATGCTATTCTTCTTTGCCCCAGTATACTCTTTAAAGATGAGGGGTACTTGATACCCAACGCGGTTTTGATTACATAGTCGTCCGCACGACGATAGGCTGCCAACTCTGTACTCTGTAGGACATTCATACATCTACCTTCAGTGTAGTGTATGGAGTATATCCATTTTAACAGATTTGGTCGCTTTGAATGATAGTTTCAGATAATCACGCTGCTTTGGAAAATCGAGCGTGATTGGTTGAATTTTCAAAGGTGATCTGCTGGCCTGTGAAAAATGCTTAATCCCAGATCCCTTTCCACTAATTCAGAACGTCACAATTAGTCTTTCCAGATATTCAGGTAGAGCCTTGGAGAATGAGAACTCCATCCTTTTCTATGAGGATGTGGAGGCTTTTATAGATGTTATTTATGATCCGGATTTGATCAACTGAGTTGCTGAGAGTATGAGATGGGCGTGTGGTAAGTAGAAATGTACTGTCAATGTCTGAAAGAGAGTCATCTCATCAGATCTCCTCCTTGCTTCTTAACATCCTAATTTCAAATGCTGCATTCCTGCTTCCTTAATATTAGAAGCAGTGGAATAAGTTTTTAAAGATAATATGGGAAACTCCATAAATCCCTTCGAGAAATGAAATCAAAGGGGTTAAAGAAGGTCAAGGCTCATCCTTATTTCAAGGAATTACTCGGTGCCCCTGCCAGTTAAGAAATGGATCCCACTTGAGAAACTACCATTTGATCCGACCTCGATCGACCACGAAAATCATTGAACACTCAGAGTTGACAAGGATGGCAAGTTGTATAGCAGTCGGAGCAACGTTCCACTGTTGCTATTGCATCCACACTTCGACAAGTCACGCTCTACTTTTCCATCATGAAGAAGGTAAAAGCAGATGTGCGCTGATTTTGCAGTGAGCATCACTATGACACGAAGAAATCTTAATCTCTGATGAAGGAGAAAAGTTACAAACAATCAATTGAATAAAATGGGGCGGGGCCAGGAGTGAAATTCCAAAAAGGTGGAGATAAATTATATTATTAGATGTGGTGAAATATGTGAGAGATTAACTACGATGGGGAATCCGAAAGACCTGGAATTACCGCAGTCTATTTACAGTTCGAGATGGAATGGATTCCTGTTATAGACGGACGGAGCGAGGCGAAAAGCGCTGGGAGCCCGGTGTGCAGGACCCGTCGAGCGATCTCCGTCCACAGATCTGCGTATGGGCAGACGGACGGAGCACGTGGAATGGGCGAGTAGCGTCGCTGGTCGCTCTCGTTCGCTCTTCCTCTCGCTCGCTCGCTCTTCTCTCTCTCTCTCTCTTGCTCGCGACCGAACGAAGTTTGATGTCCAGGGGAGCCTGGGGCCTCAGGGACGCTGTTGTTTAGTTCGTTCGTCGCCAATCTTCTGCTGGCGTGCACTCCTCCGCGTCAATTGCCTGCCATCTGGGCTCCGCACTGCACCGCACTCTCGCGTGGGGCTTAGATTGGGTCGATGGGCTTCTTCCTTCGTCATTGACACTGCACTGCACTGCGCTGCGCTTGACTCACCTCCTCTGGCTCGTCTCCCCTCTCCGTTCACGAGTCGTTCTATCCACTCATTGATTTGGCACGGTTGCTGCTGCTGCTGCTCGATTGATTGATTGGCTGATTGATTGATTCCCCTGGGGTTGGTGTGATTCCTCTGCATGTTTCTTTCCTGGTCTGGTGTGCCGTAGGATGTTCTAGTGGTCGGATTTGGTCCGAGTTGAGTCAGATTGCGGGGACTAGTAGCATTCATTCTTCTTTTCCTTGCCGTCTGATTAGCGGTGGTTTTCTAGAACACGCTATTTGGAGATTAGAATTTCGACATCAGGGCCGAAATTCGAGACGATTTGTCGTTTGGAATAGTTTCCCCTTCTAGGAATGGGAGTTGGGGAGGTTTGGCGGTGGTTTGTGGGGCGATGAGTCTCGGCTGGGTTTCTCCGACCAGAGTGTTCGATTTCTGAATTGGGCAGAAGAACCGTGTATAATTGTCGTGTGAGAGTATGCGGCAGTGGTGTAGTGAACTCGATACGAGGCTCCTACAACAAGGACGGAAGACGCAGCTGTAGTTATAATTCTGTCCCAGGCGCTTGTGAGTCAAGCTCTTAGAGATCTTGCGCCTTCACTATGTCCTGCCCCTCTCCCGTCCTTTTTACCCTTGCCTTTCGGATAATCTTGCTCCGTCGTCGCGTCAACCAGAGTTGAGTTTATTTCTTGACAGCGGCTTCGATGAATCGGATAGAACCAGAATCTTGACGGTGTCTGGATTGTTGTCACCAAATCTTGGTCAATGAGACCTTGTGCAATTTCCTCGTTAGAAGATGGAAATTCGTTAAGGCTCTGAATCCTTGTTGGCTAGAATTTCAAGACAGCTACTGGTTCAACAAGCTCACCTTCTTCTAGCTGGCTGGATTATCGCCCACGTCTTGCTACGCTTAAGTTCTTCTGTCTCCGTTTCGACTTCAGGTGAGTTCGTCTCCTCACAATGCATCATGGTTCTTGCGTAGTGTGTTCCGATGCACGCGGAGCTCTGTAATCCTTAGTTACACGTGGGTTAGTTCGTTGTCATTTTGTGCGGCCACTGCAATTAGTCGGATGTTTCTCGTTCCTTTTCTGTTCTTCGTCTTATGCTCTGAAGCTCGCGTCAATCACGAGGTTTGCGCTAATCATTGTGTCGAGAAGTAATTGTGTTGATTGCCTGACCGGGCAAGGTGTCTCACGGGTGTCGGTTATGCTTCCCTTTACTCATGGCTCGGATTGGTAACTATTTACGCGTTAGCTATACACGGTAGTGAATCATGTTTTAAATCGTCGTCAGCCTCTCCGGCGGAGGGCTTGTTAGCCGTCCTCGTTTGTTCGCAGGGTGAATATTGAGACTCGAACGTACATGCTATTCGAGCCGCCAGAATTTTATCATGTCTAGAAGTAACTTGTTCTGGAGTGTAGGTACTTTCTTTGAATGATCATGGATTCTGTTGTGAATCGCAGGGGAGTAGATCAGTGCAAACAGGGAGAAGAATCAAGCGGTCATTTTCGAACATCGTCAACAATGTTGAAGTTTTTGAAGAATGTGGTGGGATCGGCAGGCGGTATCAAGGATCTGCCTTACGTTATCGGAGAGCCTTATTCCTCTGCATGGGGCTCCTGGACCCACTATCGCGGCACTTCCAAGGTTAGTCTTCTTGTTCCTGACGTCCCTGTTCCACGAAAATGAGATATGAGTTTGGGTTGGAGCTTATTTTCTGGCTTTAAGAGTGATTGAAACGGGAGACGACTTGAGTCAGAATGCAGGGCTGGAAAAGCGTTGACGACAACGTTATTCATTCTTTCTTCGTTTCACATCTGTGTGGACCTTCACCTTTTGTTTCCTCGAATTCACACAAGTGAGCCTCAAGTTGTTACAATGAAGACTGTTTACGCCCTAGATCTCATTCTGATGGAGCAAATCTGTTTCGTCGAAGTTCAATTGGCTTTAAATGAATATATATTTTGTTCTGTGTAGCCCGAAGTTTCTGGTATAAGGTCAGGATTCAGAAGGTGTGATCTTACGTCTTGTTTTTTAAGGTTGCGGTACTTGCGCGCTAATTGATCCCCCGTTTTAAGCTATCGTTCGCATACATGATGTCTCTCGAACCGAAATGGTGACATGCGAGGTTGTGGTTTGTGGTTATGGCTGATTGTCTAGACGTTATGAGAATTTTCTTGGACAATCAGTAGACAATTCGGCCTCGTAAAGGTTTCTCGATTTTGTTGTAACTTCAAGGGAATGCTTTTACAATTTTCCGTGAAGGACTTGCTTACTTCGCTGGCCTTGAGGGGTCATTTGGATTCTCTGTCAATATTTGTCGTGGATTCCTTATGAAATCTGTGGAATGGTTCCAAATTCGCTTGCTTTTTCTGAATGCACGTTTGAGTTTCAAGGACTCGGGACGTGACGTACATTGTGTACACTTTCAATCCTTGTATAGCCATATTCTGAGTTGGTATATCATCTGTATGCCTTCAACAGGAAGACAATTCTCCAGTGTCGATCTTTTCGATGGTTGCAAACGACGCTGAAGATGGCCGATTGGCTGCCGCGCGGATCGGGGCGAAAAGGCTTCGTGCGGTGAGTGTCATCATATTTTTTCTTGCTCACTTCACTTACTTAGTTAAATCGACCTGATGAACTACCTGTAACTCTACGAGGCAGTGAACCTTCTCTATGACTTCGCAGTCAGAGAGAGAGTTTCTACATGGATTTATAGGTGAGTCGCTCTTTGGAGATTGATGACATGTCTACGCAGAACGTCTTACCTTCCTATTAATCATTGTACATATGAATATAGCTGAGCCCTTCTTGTTTACAGATTCGGCATCCCAACATCTTAGAGTTTCTTCACAGCACTGAAACGGAGACGGTGGTTGAAGGCGGTGTTATCAAAACAACTATTTATATCGTTACAGAACCGGTCATGCCCCTCGCTGAGAAGATAAAGGAGCTCAACTTCAAAGGAAACCAGCGGTATCCAAATCTGAACTTGTCACGTTTGTACATTGCTTGGAGAATCTAGGTTGGCTTGGCTTCTAATGTGTGGTGCATATGTGTTGAGGCTGCTCAGTCGTAGAATGTGGAACAGGACTCATAGCTTGATAATCTGGGCCATTCTTTAGCGTCCTCGTTGGACATTGGAGCTCTAAGCGATGATAATGTGTTTGCAGTAATGAGTTTTATGGCTGGGGTCTTCGTCAAATCACGAAGGCGATAACGTACCTCCATAGCGAGTGCGCGCTTGTATGTTTCGCAACCATCTAATTTCTCGTATTTAAACATGTTTAGAAGCATTGTTGCCTCATCCTCTGACTTCTAAAGCTTACCATGAAGAACAGTCTATGGTACGATTTGAACTCTTTTCTTCCTTGTAAGGGTTCAATTCTACAGTGCAGATCATGCCTCATCTTACCACACCTTTTCTGTATGTGGTGTTTGATACACGTGCATTTCGTTGTTTTGAAATGTCAGGTTCATGGGAATGTCTGTGTGGATGCCGTGGTGGTTACCCGGTCACTAAACTGGAAACTACACGCTTTTGATGCGTTATCTGAGATTGATGGAGCCAACTCAGCTGCTTCTAGCCCTATGCTGGTAGGCTTCCACTTTAGTTATGCTGAGGAGCGATTGTTGGTATGTTGTGTATGCTATCAAGCCAGAAAACCAGGTTGACATGACTGGAATGTCTTGCCGACTGTACTGTGTGACATTTCTAGCTAGGTTCATGACCATCTTCCTACCATATTTTGTTTTAGAGGTGTTGAAAGAGTTGTTCTTGCCAGTGTAGGCACAACGGGTTGGTGAAGTTTGTATAATAAGGGTAATGTTGTGGCTCTTTTAGCAGCAATACGAGTGGTTGGTGAGTCCTCAGTACAAGCCTCAAGAACCTGCGAAGGCTAACTGGGCTACAATTCGAAGGTCATCACCTTGGGCAATTGAATCGTGGGGTCTTGGTACGCTTGGAACAAATCCACCCCTCATGAAGTTTGTAGGCTATCAATCCGTTGGAATTTTCGAGAGCGATGATGGTTGTTCTAGAGTATGATACGTTTTGTTAAACTTTTGCTCGCCTCCTCGACTTTGCAGGTTGCTTGATTTATGAAATGTTCTCTGGATCGAAGTTGACAAAGACTGAGGACCTTCGCAACACTGAATCCATCCCTAAGGTGGTTTAATTCCTGTAAGCTTGCATATGTACTAGTAATGTGGAATCAGGGCCAATCGCTTTTGAAAGTACGCATGAACTCATTTGATCGGTTATGAATTTGGTGTATGGGGCGTCTGTGCTGCATATTGCAGAAGATACACTCTTCCTTTACTTGATTGCCGTGTCCGTTGTATCCTTCAGTGTTTCTGCTGATGTTGAACATGTCTTTTATATACTAATCTCGCTTGTTTACTCTCCAATTGGTTTCCCTTTGTATTGAACGGCAGTAAATTTGACTGTAATGGAGAGCAAGCAATTTATCGGAAGCCCATCTTCTAATATATAGCAAATAGATATCAAGTAGGAAAATGCCATCCTTCTTACGGATTCCGTGCTCCATACTGAACTTAGTTTTCTTTCTCCAACGTTTCAGGCATTGCTTCCTGCCTACAATAATCTTCTAGCGGCTGCCCCTGAACGAAGATTGGACCCAGCAAGGGCAATAGAAAGTAGTGGTGAGTTACTTCATGATCGTAGCCTGAGAAAGAACTTTTCAAAATCAAAGATGGCCATGGGAATTACAGACTGAGCTTCTGTATCTTAATGTCCTCCTTCAAACATTATCCTTTAGCTATGTTGAGCCTCCCCATGGACTGATGAACTTTGCTGGCATTGCACGTGTATGCAGAATTTTTTAAGGATAAGCATGATTCCGGTCAGTTCATGGCCATGGGAAAGGAACATGTGGGTGCTATCAATCTGGAGGAACGTCAGGAAGTCGAACGTGTCGTAAGGAGGAGAACAGAGGAATCTGGAAGCGAGTTGATTCCCTGCCTTCCAGACGAAGTTGCTCTTTTGTGTCTCGCTCGTGTGCCTCGCGCTTCGCACCACGTGCTTAGTGCCGTGTGTCTAAGCTGGTATAACCTTCTGCATGACAAGGTGTTTTATGACGTAAGGCAGGAGCTTGCGGTGGCAGAGGAGTGGTTGTTTTTGTGGACTCAAGATGCAGACCGATGCAATGTTTGGCACGGGTTTGATCCTGCCACGAACAAATGGTTTCAGTTGCCACATCTTCCGAATGAACATAGGACTGCGGGGAGTTCCGCTTCTGCCGTGGTCGATGGCAAGCTCTTTGTTATTGGAGGCCAGCTCAGTTCTGGTTGTGCGTGTAACTTCGTCTCCTACTTTGACATGCGACATTACTGCTGGAAACAGGCTGCCCATTTGAATGTTGCACGCGCTAAATGCATGGCTGGAGTTATCGGCAACCAGTTATATGTTGTGGGGGGTTTCACTGAGCGTGATCAAAATGCAGGAGCGACAGCTGAGGCTTATGATCCGGTGACCAATAAGTGGAGGCTCATTTCCAGTATGAAAATCCCCATGGAGCTTTATGACAGTGCAGTTCTCGGTGACAAGTTCTATGTCGTGAACTCGTCCAGTGAGAATCTAGTGGGGTTGGTGTATGATCCACAGAAAGATGAATGGGTGGATATGGCCAATGGGCTCAACACAGGTTGGCAATCCAAAACAGCGGCCTTGAATGGCAAGCTGTATGCTGTAGGTGATTCTCACTCTTCTGAGGGAAAGAATGAGATCTCCGTCTACAATGCTGCTAAGGATGTTTGGGAATCCATCAAAGGAGTTCTGGATGACACGGCCCCAGTGCTGTCTTGGGGTCCCGAGCTTGTTAGTCTTGGTGGACGTCTTTGTATCGTTGGTACGAGCAGTAAGGCCCACGTCGCTGTGGTGGATATCAACGAAACTTCCAAACCATCCGTTGCAACCCTCACCTACTATGAGGATATCACGAAGAAAATTCAGTTTGCTGAGCCTCTGCCCAGAGGAGCTTGCCAAGTTCTCGCGCTGTGACACATTCAAGTGCCTGCATTTCAGTACAATCGTCGATTGGAACGCCTTTTGGAGCTTTCGAGTTCATCCATCCTTTCTTATCCAATTTTGCCTCGACAAGATGCCGTCATTAGGGTGTTATTGCTGTGCCTGTCGTCTGTCTGCACTTCACCATGCTGCAAGCACACACCACCCGGCACTGATACCGTACTGCCATGAGTCTGGAGTAGTGGCACTGTCTCTTGCAAGGCACAGACTATTTTCTGGTTGTTGATCCCAGCGTTGAAAGAAGACTTTTGGAAAAGCCGAGGGATCTTGTCGAAATTATTTTCAATGGTGGCGGTGGTACTAGACATAAAAGGAGTATTCTTTCGCGGATCCACTCTTGGTTCGAAGGACGAACAGTGGAGAAGTTGGTTTCGAGGAGAAGGTTCTGACGTATCTAGTCGCAGAACTGGTATTGCGGGCTCAACTGCTGCATGTAGATAATCAGGAGGTGATTTCTGAAGGATAGTGAGTCCTAATTTACTGCTCGGAGAAGTTGCGTTGAAAGACTTAAAAACTCGCAATGGTGCAGGATGACTTTTGGAGGTGTCATCAGTTTCACTCACACTCCGGTCTCCGTCTTTGTAGACTGTAAAGCTTTTTTCGTTTCGCTCATCGAAAATCGTAGCTTCGATTATTTCGCCAGAATGGACTTGAGTAAATACTCAGACCCGTGCTATGCTTCCACACCGTTAGCATTTGTCCGCAGAAGACTCGGACTCGTGATAGCATTGAGTCATTGATTATGAACTCTTTGAGGATTGTAACTCGTGGCCAACCTTAGCTGTAGATTCAGCCGGGTACATGACGAGACCTCAACCTTTTATTATTCTGCTTCTTGAAGATGGTTCCTCATTAGCAGGTATCTTCGATTTTCTTGCCAGTCCGGCAGACGTGTACAGTTGGTCCATAGAAGACACGATCCTTCGTGATGGCTTGTCGTTCCGAGTGCTCTTTCAGCACACTCAGGTTTCATGGTCCCGATTTGGCGCCGAGTACATGTGTCGTTGAAGAGCAGCCTTTAAAGCCGTGTCTAGTCAAATGTCAGTAGTTTCTAGAGTAGCTTGGAATGGACGTACTTTTTTCTGGCTCATGGTACCTCTTCTTCGACCTTGTGATGTAACAACATTGGTCATAACGGTCAGAGATTAGGATTAGATTTACCAACGATCTTTAGTGTAGTACTCAAGAAAGCGTATTCGTAGGAGAGGCAAACGGCGATGGGAAGCAGGCACGGAGTTTCCCGACAAAGCTTTTTGTCAGTGCGAGTTGGCCGGGCTGGCCAGCCATGAGTAGAACACAAAGCAGTGGAAGTAAAAGGCCGTAGCTTTCATTGTCCATGGTCAAAGATCTACGATCAACATCGCCAGACAGTCACCTCACAAGGTCATGAGTTCTTGATGTAAAAACTTGATGTAAAATTGAAATTCCCCGATGAAAAGGTGAGGTTATTACTATCTTATGGTTCACGAACTGATGTGTTTTCTTGTCTTCGACATTCGGTTGATTTTGGAATTCCTCGTTCTACACTTAAGGTAAGCAAACGGTAATGTTCACGAGTTTCCATAACACATCCAATCGTTGCATGACTTTGAAAGACTGGTCGTCGTGTATGCAGGGCCTCGCTTAATTTCAACTGACCTGATCACTGGGCGATGATGTGCCAACCCGGCAGTGAGTCGTAATACTTATCGTGATTTGGCCTCAAGCCCAATTATACAAATACTGATTTGAGTACATCTAATGGTATCGCTGTTGCTTTGGTGAGTTTACTACTCTAGTTCACAATACTGGATGTCTGCGGGAGACACATTATGTAAGCGATTCCAGATGGATATACTGCGTATGAACATTTTTGATCGCCTTCTGCTTCCTGAGATCAAAGACGTGTCATTATCATAGCTTAGAAGTGCTAACGAAATTGAACTGCGGCTGTTGTAGACTCGTATGACTGTCCGTCGCTAGAATTTCTTCTCATTGCTCAACGACAAAGCAGGGACGACGGGTCGCTCTTAGAAAAATTTGCTGGCCGTGTTGAAGGAAAAATACCAGTCTTTGATTGACAGCGGTAACGAAGAATGCTGAATTTATTATGACATGTTTTGATCCTCAACTTCAAAGGCAGGCTTATCGTTGTATGGGTTACCTCCTAGTACTAATTTGCACTGCTCGCATCTGATCAGAGAATGATTTGCGAACGAAAATTAGACTGCGAACACCTGCGCCGTATTATTGTAGCGAATACTCTGAAACGAAGAACCAGACGTCGTCCGGCTGCGAATCGGCGGATCCGCCCAGACGCTGGGGTAACCGGGGCTCCGACGTCCGCGGGCTGCGGAACCCGCGAACCACGTGTGAGCAGTCAGAACTGGGTCCCACCTAGTCCGCGCGAAAGTCTCTCGGGAGTCCAGACGGAATCTACAGAAAAGCGCGCACTTTTACCGGCGGTGTCCGGTGACGAGCTCGACTCGCCCCGAAGACTGTGGGTTCCAATCTTTGTGGATTTTGTCGCAATTTTCATTTGCCAATTTGTTTTATGCCGCATCGGGCCCCACAGCCCGATGCGACGGTGCGCAATCTTTGACATCGCCGGTATGAAAATGGCGAAATTGCTCTCACTTGACTTCTTGCAAATCCCGGAGCCCAGTGGAGGAGTCCACGAGCCCCATCGTTGAGGGCTTTCTCTCCCAAGTGTGCTTGCAAAATCTGCGGTAGTTGTAGAAGTTTCGGTACGGTAATCACCCGCAAGACTGCCCGCCATTAATAGAAACTGTGCGCCATTTCGCAATATGTTCGGCTCGCGACTAGCCATTTGTAGTAAGAAGATTCGGGCACGTTGGTCGGATGTCAGCGTGACGCACCATCTGGGCTCCAGAGCCTTCTCGGGCTTCGGTGGAGGAATGAAGCTAGAAAGCAGCCACAGATCAGCTCGAAAGGCAGTCCCTGCCCTTCACTTATGTACAGAATTGTGGTCTGGAATTTCCTCTCTCATATAGAATCAAAAGGTGTGCGAGATCTGGAGCGTCTTGTTGATGCCTCTGCCCAACACCACCGCGGATCTCTTCGGGCAGGGAAACGATGATGCTCAACTCTCTCAAAATCTCTCGTGCTGTACATGACTCTCCTCGTCTCTTGTCACCTTTGCTTTTGGTCCTAATTGTTTAGTTTATTAGTGGCATCATTCTTCCCAATCATTTCATTTGTGTCATGCGAATTCCTCCTCGATGAGTATACGCAAACAGATGCGCAGCGTCGGCGACGAGGTTCAGCCATGCTCTTGGAATAGCATCGATACTCATGATCCGTATCGAAAATCCGAATATAAATTATTTCAAATAAGCGTATCACTGTAAGAGTCTCTTCCCTCTGGACATGCGCACGGAAAATTTCGGTCAATTTTCGGGGCTGAAGCGCAGGAAAAAACACTGCGCATACCCCTCCTCCTTTCGATCCGCACTTTGCGATGAATGGAAAGCGACTATTCCAGGACACCTCAGTCCGAAAGAGGCACACAAAGGGAGGGTACGGAAACTGATAAGGCGGATGGGATGCTTCGTTTCCTGAACGCAGTCAGCGCCGCGAAGTCCACTTTTCCTGTAAGTCAAGTCTGGGCCCTCCCTCAGGCCGGATGTCCGTGGATTTACTTCCGCCTAAGGGAGGGCCTTGACGTCGGGGTCCTTAGGCTATGGGGGACTCCCTCCCTCGCTCCCCCCCCCCCCCCCCTCGCTCGCTCCCGTCTGCAAGCTGCCGCTGCTGCCTGCCATCGCTCTGGCTCGCGGCATTCGTCGACGTTCGAGCTCTCTTTCTGTCTCGTCGGGGACGGAAGGGAAGGGAAGCGAAGCGGAGGAGGAGGAGGAAGGCAGGGCAGAGGACCACGAGAGGAGAGCGCGAGCGAACGAGGAAGGGAAGTGCGTGAGCGAGGGATGGATCGCGGTGCGGATCGTAGAGGGGAAGTAGATCAGTGATAGAGAGAAAAATTGGAGGTGAGCGGAGCGGGTTCGAGGAGCAGCAACAGCAGCAGCAGCAGCAGCGATGTTGAAGTTTTTGAAGGGGGTTGTGGGATCGGGAGGTGGAATCAAGGATCTGCCCTACAATATCGGAGAGCCTTACTCCACTGCATGGGGCTCCTGGACTCACTACCGCGGCACTTCCAAGGTCAGTATCGCTGCCGACTTCGTTGGATTTTTTCTTCCTGTGCCTGTTTGCAGGAAAAAGGAACCAGTCTGACGATGAGATCTGGCCAGTGAGGGTCGGCGAAGGTGCTGATTTATCATGTCGAGGATAAGAGTTTGGGAGAAAGTTTGGGCTGGCTAGAGAGTTGGATCGGTATTTAGGGCTGGACATAGTATTGAAATGCACGGGGTGTTGACTCTCAGGTATGAAATGTCCACGGAGCTACTGTATAGCTGGCGTTTAGCCACATTCCGCATATACCATATATTTCATCTGGTTTTAGCCACTCTCCGGTAAAGGTTCGAGCGGTGTATTCAAGATCCCAAATTCTGGATTTGCGAAGGCCTGGTACATGGTTGCAGGATATAATTTTGAACTTCTGAAGCTGAAAATATGAAGCTCGAATGTTCAGTGTCTAAATTATAATTGTGGATCCACAATGTGGAGAAATTATACAAGTTCACACTCTTATGTCCTCCGCAAAGCCTATGCCTGACTTACATAAGAAGTTTATTTTCCACTGGTCTCTACACGAGGGTTAAAATGTGTTGACACTTCAAGTTACCCTCCCGTTTCCTGTGACGAAATTGATTTTCCAGTTGCTGCTTGTCGCAACACTGGCAAGCTAAGAATCTACACTGTCTACTTGAGTACACCCACATTCTATGTTAGAAAGGATCCGGATCACGGTTGAAAGGCTACTGAATAGATATTTTGGTGTTGATTATGTAATAGTCTTGCTCGCAACCTCTGAGTCTTCACTGTGGACGCTCTCTGCTCTGAATAAATGACCATATTGTGGAGATAAAGTTTTTTTTGTGTAAATAATCTGTTCTCGTGGAACTCAGAGTAGGCCACACGTGAAGGATCAGCAGGTAAGAAGGTCTTCTATCATAGAAATCGATGAGCTGAATCTGTAAAATCATCTTCTGGAATTAACCTGAGGTTTTCTCTCGAATTTTCTCCATCAGGACGACAATGCACCAGTATCAATATTTTCTCTTGTTGGGACCAGTCCACAGGATGGACGGCTTGCTGCAGCGCGAAATGGTGCTAAAAGGCTTCGCACTGTAAGACTGTTCCATGCCGGCCTTCTTTTTCCAAATCTGAATGAAATGTTTAGGCACATAGATCTGTCTGTGTTTGTTGACAAACCGTGAATACTCCATAACTCTCACACAGTGAAATGCTTTTACACAGGTTCGGCACCCCAATATTTTATCTTACCTTCACAGTACAGAAGCCGAAGCTATGGAGGGGGGTGTTGCGAAGCCAACCATATATGTTGTCACAGAACCCGTTATGCCCCTAGCGGAGAAAATCAAGGAGCTCAACTTGAAAGGAACACAACGGTATGAAAATGCATTCAAACGATGCATTTCCATTTGCAGGATGCATCGTCTTCTTGTTACGCAGTGTCACAGCTTAGCCAAGGTGTGGTGTATATAGCTCAAGGCTGTGACAGGAAACTACCAACGAGTACATATTAAAAAACACAATGTGAATCTTTTTGAAGCCTGCACCTCTTAGGATTTTTCCAATTTGAATCAGATGCAAGTCGGGGAATATGAAAACTTCAGTCGATAGTAATTGATCAAACTCGGTTCCAATTTGTGAACTCTGACACAAGGTGCATTATTGCAGAGATGAATTTTATGCGTGGGGTCTTCATCAAATTACAAAAGCAGTCAGTTTTCTTAATAATGACTGCAAGCTGGTACGATTTTTACCACTGTATATTCTTGGAATTTTTACGCATGCACTTCTTGTTTTTTGTTGATTATGTATGAGGTATCCATTTAGAGCAAAGTATTATAGTTTTGCAGTCTGCAAAGCATGGACAGAGTTTCACTTTCCATAGATTTGGGAACCATCTATTATAATTCTTCTTGAGAGATTAGCATTTATGAAATATACAGCTTATGCCACACAAGCATGATCTCCTCGGACTTATATTTAAAGATACAAACTTCTGTTCTCTTCAACATCTCAGGTCCATGGGAATGTGTGTGTGGATGCTGTGGTTGTTACTCCAACCCTCGATTGGAAGCTGCATGCATTTGATGTCTTGTCTGAGTTTGATGGAGGCAACCCAGCAGCTTCGGGCCCTATGTTGGTAAGTCCCTCAATATTGAAACTAGTTGGGGAATTCTTGCCTACAGTAAAATGGTATTAGGAATCGCAGATAGAACAGTATACTACTTTCAGAAATCCCTTAGTATCATATTGAATCTTGAAAATTCCATGTAATTGTGGATTCATTTATCAGTCACGAGGAATATGCTGACCTGTTGGTCCTTCAATTGACATTTCTAGGTCGAGTGGCTCAGCTTGAGTTGTAGAGGGCCTGCAGCTCACGTGCTTTTCAAACGTGTTGTGAATTTTGCAGCAATACGAATTTTTGGTCAGTCCCCAGTACAAATCCCAGGAACTTGCAAAAACCGACTGGTCTACCATTAGAAAATCTTCACCTTGGGCAACTGACTCATGGGGTCTTGGTATGTTTGATCTATTCACCATGTTGTTGATGTTGCATGATACCATGTCTGTTGATTTGCTATCGTGATCGACCTCTGTTTGTTTCCATGATGGGAAGTTGGAGAGGTTTTCATCATCTTCTGCCCGTTGTGTCGACCTTGTAGGTTGCTTGATATATGAACTCTTTCTTGGGTCGAAGCTGACAAAGACAGAGGACCTTCGCAACACCGCATCCATCCCTAAGGTGGTTCAATTCCTGTAAGCTTTGATTTTGAAACTTTGGTCCATTTAATGAGTCTTGAGACTCATTGCTTGGATTTTGTGTTTTTGGCTTGTCATATGCAAACTCCAGGGTGCATATACCATAACTTTTTTGCTTGATCCATTATGGGTCATTCTAATGTGCATCAACCGAATACAAGTAAGTCCACGTTGAAGATGTTATTTGTCCAAAGGAACTGACGTAAAGCTCCATTACTCTGCCTTTCCAGACTTTACTTCCAGATTATCAAAGACTGTTAGGGTCTATTCCGTCACGGAGGATGAACCCCTCAAAGCTGGTAGAAAACAGTGGTGAGTTTCTTCAGAGACTCCCATATGACACAATCCCCTGGAAGTAATCAGGTGTATAGGAATGTGATCAACGAGGTCTTTCTGATTATCATGAGGAGGCTGTTACTTTTTGTACAGTATAAATTTTCTTGTCAATGAGCCGAAGGTGAAGGCTGAAGGATTGATTCACTTTGTTGTGACTACAGAGTTTTTCCAAAATAAGCTGGTGGAAACTATCCAGTTCATGGAAGTTCTTAATCTCAAAGATAGTGTGGAGAAAGACTCTTTCTTCAGGAAACTTTCCACTCTGGTTGAACAACTACCACGAGAGATTGTCTTGAAGAAGGTGAGGGTCTTATGTGCTTTACATCTGCTTCCGTTGTGATCTCAACAGAGTTTCCCTATGGATATGTGCAACTTGTAGGAGATGAGATCATGCCGTGTACTTTGATGTGTATTTTATATTCAACAGCTTCAAGCTATCAAACCTGCCAAGTCTTTACCAGTTCAAACTTGTGAAATATCCTGGAAGATTGAGATTTGATGAGAATATGGTGGTTTGATTACAGTTGTTGCCTCTTCTCGCGTCTGCACTAGAATTTGGTTCTGCAGCTGCGCCAGCTTTGAATCCCTTGCTAAAGATGGGATCCTGGCTTGGTCAGGATGATTTCAATAACAAGGTACTATCTTATTCTGGTCTTTGGTGTACACATCAATTTATTTCATATTGTGGATCCATTGCGTTTGGGGATGGTCAAGTCAGTAGTGACGTCATTCATATTCTACATCTCGCAGTTATGTAATGTTGAGAACCAGCCCATTCAAGGACCTATAATTATGTTACTTGTGAACACATCACATGGGCAGTAATTCTGTGATGCAGAAGATTAAGTGAAAACGATTCAGTTCTTTTTGCGGTATAATCCATGATTATAATTTTGATCCCTGTTTATTTTGGCAGGTGTTACCAACTGTCATCAGACTTTTTGCCTCCAGTGACAGGGCCATTAGGGTTGGTTTATTACAACATATAGAGAGTTTTGGAAATGGTCTGTCGACCCAGGTTGTTGACGAGCAGGTGAGTTTGGTTCGGTTGAGCCTTTCCCGCCCATGCGTTGTCCTGTTTAAATTGTGATGTTAAGGTTGAACTTTTCGGCGGACAGAGTTGCGAGAATGTCCTCAGGTACGATCAAATAGTCTCGATTGTCTTTGCTTAATCTTCGTTGCCTTCAGGTTTTTTGTAGAACATAGTGATTCAAATATATCATAAGGCCCTACATACTGATTTCGAAATGCTTTGAAAAACTTGTGGTTTAAAAAAATAAAAACAAATTTGTTTCTTGTTGTAGGTTTTCCCACATGTTGCCACTGGCTTCTCAGATTCTTCAGCGTTTCTACGTGAGCTCACTCTCAAATCAATGTTGACGCTTGCTCCGAAGGTATGTCCATATGGGTCATTAAATAGCAAGTACATAAAACACTCAATAAAGAGGAGAGACTGTCAGCAAGAACTTCAGGAGTGAGTGTATACTCTGAATAAACATGGAGAGGAAACCCACTCTATGCTTTTGCTAAGCCCTGCCCACACTATATTGATGACATGTGGAAATTTTCAACTTGGCACTAAACTTTTCACGTGTTTCCTTTTTGTGTTATTCTGATTACTGCAGCTGTCTCAGCGAACGATTACTGGATCTCTTCTGAAGTATCTCTCGAAACTTCAGGTGGGCGTTCATCTAGTCAAATATTTTACGTACTTTTATTAAAGATCTCGATCCGTGATAGCAACTGTGCTTGAATTCACTTTTCAACTATGACATGCAATTTAGGTAGGAGAAGTCAACTTGTTAAGAAAGAGTGCAAAGGAGAAGGTGAAAAGGATAGGGCCATGCCTTTAGAACCTTGAGGATTGTATCCCAGCTTTTTCCTTGACTTGTCTTTGATATTCGTTCAGGTTGATGAAGAGCCCGCCATCCGAACAAATACCACCATTTTACTGGGCAATATTGCTGGCCATCTCAACGATGCAGTAAGTGTTGAGTCTACCAACTTTCTGTTTCACATTAAAGAAATGAGGTAACTCTTTATAGCTGTAGGCTGTTTGGTCTTAAGGTAAATCATGGAGGTAACTTAGTACAAGTATTCAGTTTAGTGCTTGCTATTCATGACAGTGGACATTTTCTCTATTACTTGTTTAAGATAGCAGCAGCATATTGTCCAGTTTATTTTTTTGAGACAGTTACAGTATATTCATGGATTTTACCCAGTCATGTTTGCAAAGAAATTTAAAGTTATGATACATTCTTTGAATGGAACGCAGACAAGGAAGCGAGTGCTGATTAATGCATTTACGGTGCGTGCCCTGCGTGATGGATTCGCTCCTGCGAGAGGAGCAGGTAAAGTACCGCAGTTTCTTCACACATTGGGTTGACTCTTCAGGTTCCTAACACCAATTTATAGGTGATTCATAACAAAGAGCACAACTTAAAAAATGCTTTTACCAACTTACACTGTTTTGACATTGTGTGCTTGAAGGAATCATGGCACTCACTGCAACTATGGAATTTTACGACGCAACAGAAATAGCAACACGTATACTACCCCACCTCGTCATATTGACAGTTGATGGTGACAGGTACTTGCGAACATTCTTATGAACGAAATACTTTTGTTTACTCTTTCTTTGTCTTGGTTGATGTTCTATTTTCGTCTTACAACATAGGGGATCAATCACTTATGATCCATCTAAATATGTTCTATGCTTGTATTTGATTGATCTTTTAGTGTTTTTCGCTTAGGTAGTATTTTTTGGCTAATTAATGCTGCACTCGTCTGGCAGTGATGTGAGGACAAAAGCCTTTCAGGCAACAGAATCTTTCTTGCAAAGTATCAAGCTCCAAGTTGATAAGGTATGTTTACAGCTGGCTTTTTTGGCCGAGTTTACAGTCGCGACTTGAATGAAATTATTACTTACGCAGGCTATGAACATGGCCGCATGGTATTTTACCGGGGAGCTTATTAACTTGCACATTTTTTAACAGATGCATACAGGAGGAGATAGCATGACTAATCTAGCGTCCGCTGCTGGATTAAGTGCTAATTCTGGACTTTTAGGGTAAGCTTCAGTATAATGTGCAGAGTTTTACTCCCTACCCTCCACGACTCCTCACATTTTCTCGTCATGCTACGCCTGTCCATATTCCATCATCAATTCTCTATCGTCAAGTTGAAAATTATTTCACGTTCTCTTTAAGAAGGTTGCTATGCAAGATGTTTGAAGTATAGGCACTGTTTGCTGAAGATGTTATATACAGTTTTCCTCTTTATATACTATACCATCCAGTACGAAAAGCTTCGCAATCGCTTGATGCTCGAGTGATGTTCGACTACTGTCTACATTGTGAAGGGTGGACCATAATGCTGAAATGTTGATTATCTTTCAGATGGGCAGTAAGCTCCCTAACGACAACCAAAGCAAAAACAGAAATTGGCACTCCTGCCACTACTCAACCTCTGGAAACCACCTCAACGGCCAAGATCTCAAGTAACTCTGGTATGTTTCTAGTATTTCCTCTTCAAGTTTGCCAAAAGAGGTTTAGAACCTTGTGCCCCTCTAGGTCAGGGTTGAGGAAGTTGAAGGATTCAGTGACTTGGATTTATGAACTGCTACAATGATTGCCATGACTGTGATCACGAGTGAAAACACTTCATTGCCCTGAGTATTGTCAAACGAAACTGCTTTTACAGCAACATCAGTCTCCGAGAGACCTCCACCACCTCCAGTCTCTGTGTACACTTCGTCCTACCAACCCGAAGCTCCGGCCGTTGCATCTCCTACGTCAGATGGATGGGGGGACATCAGAGAGAACGGGAACGGGAACGGTGATGATGACGACGCCGACGGTTGGGGAGACATGGGATTATTGGAGGAACCCTCGCTAGCAAGAATACAAGCAGCGCAGCAGAGACCGGTGGCTGCGCCGAAACCGCAGATGTCCACCACCAACACATATACTGTAAAATCAAGTAAGCTCTTCTGTAACCTTCTGTGTGATCAAGGAAGCCAAGGGGTCGGACATGCAGTCGATTCAACCACGAAACCTATTTGTGATCGCTTTGTTAACTCAGAGGCAAATAGACGTTTCGCAATCGAAGCAAGGACTGACGGGATTGAACTGTCGCAGGTGTGGATACCACACGAACGAGTGTCTCTAGCAAGAGTTATGCCGAAACTCGAAAAGCGGATGACGACGACGATCCGTGGGCTGCCATCGCCGCCCCTGCTCCTTCGAGCACCGCGAGACCTCTGAGCTCGGCTTCGAGCGCGTCGGGTGGGAGGGGCTCGTCTGCTCCACGGGTAAGACCGGCCGGCCAACATGTGTCGTTAGGCCAACATGTATCTTTAGAAAAAGCTCTGGGAGGAGGATCGGAGGCGAGCAGTGCTGGGCGTGGTAGAGGTAGGGGTAGATCGGCACCCATGAAATTGGGGGCTCAACGCGTAACTCGGCCTTCCGAGAACTTGTAAAAGCAGTAGATATATTCTCTGTATTAGTCTTAGTATAGGCATTTGATTCTGCCCGCCTCCAAATAAAGGTTGAGCAATTTTTATTACGAACCTACCCAATCCCTCTTACGGCCGTGATGTAGAAAGCAACCAGTCTGGTACCTTTTGTCATCTATCAAGCGACGCGCTGCGGATGAAGAAGCCGGGCCGGTGTCGTCGACGTAATCCATAGATTGATTCCACGAAACGTCAAACCATTCGAATCGTAGTAACATTCTCCAAATTCAAGGAAGCTTAATGCTGCTGGCTAGTTTATCTGTGTTCTCATTCTTATGCCTCGCGTGTTGGTCTCTCTGGTACATTATGCTCATCATCGAGCGGTCAAGAATTCTGCTCTTTGAGCACTTCTGAATGCTTTGGGAGACCGTCGAGACCGATCAGTTTTGCAAATTGATTTTTCAAATGCGGCAAGTTTAGGTTGACTGTTTCAACTTCATTTCGCATGTCCAAGCTTTCCTCTACAACACCATGTGTTACAAAACAGTCGAGGTCGTATGTATAATCAAAGATCCATGTTGTGAATATTGCCGCAGAATCTCGTCTGAGCGCTGCTAGAATAGTTTGAGTGAAGACCTCTTTGATTTTAACTTAAGCCTCACTGGCATGGTGGATATATATTTTCCATGTTCATCGTACTAAATCACGATTTTGTACCGTCGGGAATGTTTAGCAGAACAAGCAGCTCAAAATTCGCCGACAGCACAGGATTTACATTTCCGATCCTGGTGGAAGGTCAAAATTTTGTCATTAAGCTCATTGAACCATCATTCTTGGCGGGCTCCAAGTTTACTGAGCAGTAGAAAGCCTTCTACACAGATCGAAATACCAGTCTGTTCACGAAGTAGGATCAGAGTGCGAACCTTTTATGTTACGAACAAGTTTTGTCGTAAATTTCCTATGGATAGATGCCATGTGTGCCAGCTGGAATTTGCACTTCCATGGGCACTGACGGAATTGCGAAAGACGGCTTAATGTCTTTGACGACTCAATATGTCTCTATGAATCTAAGAAGATCCTTGCAATGGACAACTGTGCGTATTTCATATCATGTATTGAAATCTGGGAATTTATTGAGACATACTTCGGAAATCATTAGACGCAATGACTCGCAGATTATAGGTGCCTAGTACAGTTTCTGGGCGGCAGCTCTAATCTGGAAGGAGAGGTTCAAACCCTTTTAGACAGTATGAGTATGAATCGACGCGTTCTCACATCCCGAAATTAGTGTCAAAAGGACGGTCAACATTCATAAAAGAAACAAGTATGAGCTAGTCATGTGTGCACATGAATAGCTCATGACCAACCACCTGTCAAAGATGATTTGACTGTCAAGTCGAATCTAATTGCACAGCGATGAAGATGATGATTGTTCAAGGTCCTAGCAATAAAAAGTGAAGCCAAATTGCTGATATGTCCAAAACTTGGTGTAAAACTTCCGTAACAGATTGCAACATCAAAATCACAGGACGTAACGTCGAGAAGCTGAAACAGGGAGCGTGGAAGAATTGTTGTAATTTGGCCCGGGAACGAGTTGTTTCCCAAGCTCAAACGCTTTTCATCGATAAATGAATGGACATGTACAGAAAAGCAAATCTCTAAGAGATGGACGAGCGAGCCTAAGAGAGTCGTTGTAATTACAATTTTTGGAATGGGAACGAGCTGTTTCCCAAGCACAAACGCTTTTCACCAATGAGTGAATGGATATGTACAGGAAAGCGAATCTCTAGGCACAGTCCTCGAGAGGAAATCGAAGCAATGTGTCCTTCCAAACGCCACCTTCCAAGCTCCTCTCGAAGAAAGACACGGTTCCGTCCGTCCGGATTCCAATCACAGACATGCTTCGAGTGCCATAAGCTCTGTCGAAAAGAGCCGTATCCACAAATATGGAGCCCACGTCACGCTCCATCGCCTCAGTGCATCCAGTTTCCGCCGTCTGCACGGACACATCGTCGGGCTTGGTCCGATCGTGCAGGACCTGCTCGACGATCAGCTCATTCGGAAGATCGTCGCCCTCCTCGGCAGATGCAGATGCCGAGGACGACGAGAGGGCGGACAGAACAGCCTCGAGCTTGCGCTTGCCCCTCTCCATTTTCCACCACTTGCTGTCCTTGCCGCCATTGCTGAGCGAGTGGAAGCCCGGGCGCAGCAAGTGCACGACGGCCTTGGCTCCTTCGGGTCGATTCGAGAGGAAGGCCATCTCGCGGCGGCGCACGTCGGCCACGATCAGGTTGAAGCCGTTGTAGTCGTCGGCGGCCCGCGCCACCTCCTCGAGGTAATCCGCAGGGCCCTTGGCGCTCCTGAGGAAGAGCGTCGGCAGCGCCCCGCGGCTCGTAACGTCCGTGCGCTCGGTGCCGCGGCCCGTCAAGAACTTCGCCTCCCGAACGTTCGTCAGAAACGCCAGCCGCCCGCTCTTCGTCATTCCCAGCCACGTCCCTCCGCCGCTCACATCTCTCCCGCCCACGATGCTCGAGCTCGTCGGGCCATCGCCCTCTGGCTCTTCTTCGTCGTCGTCCCAGCAGTGGAGTGCGAGCGTGGGCCGAGAATGGAACTCGTCCCTGTTGACCGCCAGCACCAGCCAGAACCCCGGGTGCTCATCCAGCGCCCAGAACGAGATACACATCCTTCGCTATCTTTCGCAGCCGCGACGATTTCTTCAATCCTATTTTGTTTCGATCTCGCCTCTTCAATTGAGGTGATAAGGTATGTACTGCTCATCTCAATCCCGTTCCCATCCATTCCGTGTTATTAAGTTGCGTTCTAGTCCCCGTGACAGCTTGCTTTGTAGTCATGTTGTTGCGTCAGTGTTTGGGGAGTCCAATCTGGCGTGAAGCTGAACACATCATTCTGCTCGTGTAGAGGAGAGCAGATTTATAGGTTTATATGGTAATTCTTGCTGCTGATGCTTGTAACTGGAGCAATGCTTACATTATGACCTGTCCGTCGTCCTACACCGGTCGCTGAAAGATCGGAAGAATCGAAGTCCGAATCTTCAAATGTGGACTTGGTCGAGGCCGTAGTCTTGTGTCATGAGCCTGTGGCAAGTCTCACAATGGCTGAAGACAGTTGTGCCCCTGTCTACTACTGTACACTTCCGCCACGCAACTAGTGGAGTAGTGGACCTGATCTTGTCAAACGGGAATGGTCAGCCAAAGCAAGTTGCCGTAACCGATCGAAATCCTTCCACGGATGGATTGGCTTGATTCGTGATGGTTTGTCGATGGTAGATGTAAATCGCAAGTTCCTGCTGGTTGGAATTGACCGAAATTTCTAACGTAATAAATCACGGTTTTATGACGGAACGATATAAGCTCATGCGTTCTTGTACTGATAGTAGAGAGAATTTCAACCTGAACCTAAATATCTATGAGCTACAATGTCATCCCGCGACCTTATCCACTGGAAGCGGAACTGGTCAGATTAATTGTTTAACATTGTAACTAAAATGTAAATTTGATTTGTTGAGTTATTTTCAGCTTTAGTTTGGGATAATTATCTTCAATTGGTTTTAATACAGCAGTTTTTTATTTCGTCTAATCTAAAATCTAATGAAACTTTTGAGTTATATTTACTAAAATTTTTTACTCAACTTTTTACTATATTTAATTAGCAAAATAGCATGTGTAGATTTGTTAATGCAAACTTTGGAAGATTTTTGGCAAAATATTAATATCAATAATAGAGCTAGGAGATAGTAGTTTTCAGTCCAAAATGGATTAAGAAGAAACAATTTATGCACTGAGCAATGAGGTAATATTTTTCTATTAAAGAAATTTAAAATATGAAATCTAGATTTTGATTTTTGAAAATTTTAATTTTTAGTGAAATTAATTGAGATTAAAAGAATATATGTTAATAACCATCTTTCACGCTAAAGTTATAATCTTTCAAATGAATTTATTTATCTAAACATTATTTTTTATATTTGACATGAAATTTATTTCAAATATAAATTAAATCATAATAATTAATTTTTCCTTCTATATCATTTTTAAAAGATAAAAATAATAATTTATAGATAAAGATTTAAAGAATGTATGTTATGATATTTTCAATTTTGCATCAAAATTTATATTTTAAAGTACTATGGACATTATCATTATTATATTAAATTTTTTTAAATTATATTTCTCTACTAAGTGAAATGATATTTTTTAAATTATATATATATAGTTTAATTTTGTGTATTCAAGATGATAGACAATTGTTTTAAAAATATATTCTATATTCATAAATGAACAATGTTTAATATGGTTATTCATATAATATATATATTATAAAAAATTTAATAATCTGTTTAAATTATTAGTTGAATAAAATAATTAAATCATTTAGATATAATTTGTCTGGTTAGGTATAGATAAACCAATCTACGATATATAGTTTCAAATATAAGAATAATAATAATAATTTAAATATAAATATGTAATTAAAAAATTTTATTTAATTTTAAAATGTTATTTGATTAAGAAATATAATAATATTATTTAAATTTCTTTTAATCTGATTTAGTGAGAAATAAAATTTTGAGAGGCGTCAAGCTCTTAAATAGCATATATTCATTTCAACTAAAAAACAAGTAAAGTTCAAAATAAACCAATAATATGTTATTATGAGATAATATGTTATTGGAGAGCTTCAAACTTCTCAAAGTTAGCTTTGGTCATTATATCAATTTTCGATTTAATTTCATTAATAAATTTTAAATCAAATTTAACATTTGAGCAAAAATTTTATTTCAAATTTGAATTTTAATGTAAGAAAAAATGATCATGTTCAATCATAATTCTCAAAAAAAATTTAAATTAAACATACTTTTTAAAAAATTTGTAATTATTTAAAATCATAAATAAAATTATCATGATTAACTTTTAAAATTATTTCTATTTACAATTTATGAATACAAATTTTATATTTATCCTCATACCAAAATTTCAATACGTAGTTGTAATAAAAGATTCTAATATTTCAAAAAAATAATTTTACATACTTGTGATCAATCATATCAAAGAATCGTATTTTTTATCTTCTGATGTTATAAGTAGAGTTACTCATTTTCTAAATTAAAAATAAGACATTATTTAAAAATAATTTTTTTTTAACTATTTTTACATCTAAATGCATAAAAAAGTAATAGGTAATCATCTGAATGCATTCACATTTTTGAATTTAAATAATCATTATATTTGATTTGCAATTGTTGAATCAGTATTCTCATATTGTGAACAAAGTTCAAGCTCACTTGAACTTCATCAATAATTACTTAAATATAGATTATGGTTTTCATTTGATTTATTTCTTCAATTTCTGATGGATTCTCATAATATTAATCAAGTTAAATAATATAAATTTTTTTTATTCAACTTCATTTATCATCCAAAAAGTCAAATATTTAATACATATCTTTGATGTTATTTGATATCATTACATCTAAACTCAAAGTTTTTTCAAATTTTGCTTGCTTCAGTCCGTTTGTATTATTGGCCAACATCATAAATAGAATAGTAGGTTTTTTGTGTCAATCTACAATCCATTTCTTAATGTAAAAATGCTCTCACATAGTTTGATCCATATTTTTCATAAACTATTCTTCTCTATCGAACCTTCAACTCTAAAATATATCCAAAAATACTTTAAAATAGTCTCATACAAAAATTTACATATATTTTTCTAGTTAATAGATTTGAAAATTATAGTTTCTATCCACTTTATAAAATAATCATTAACTATTACAATAAAATTATTTTTCCAAGTAATAAAATCAAAATACTTGAAACATATAAATTTTGATTTCTCAGAACTTAGGCGGATCTATGGAAGTATGAAGGCAGCACTTCCAATACTAGCAACTGCAAACCAATACAGGAGTTCTTTTCGCAAGCGGACAACAAATACTTTGAGGATAGATCGATAGGAGGGATGATAGAAATATAACAAGTCACAGGGCATAACGAAAGTTGGAGGTCCCGTTGCCGGAACTACTGAGGAGAAAGCGTGTCAACTTCCTGCAGTATCTTCTCGGACGAGTAGACCCAAGACACGGGTGTTAGTGACAACTGGAAGTTTACTTGCTCTTGAGTCTGCCATTCGGGATATGATTCTTTCTTCGTGGAGCGGACACACGGCAAAGTCCGTCGAACTTTTGCATGAGGTCATTGCGAGTTGTGCCGCATCCCTAAGCGTCGTTTCTGATGAATTGTTCCGGAAAGTTGATTGGACAAGTAGTTGTCATGGAGATTGTCCTTGTCCAGTAGGGGGACAAAAGACTTCGGAGGTTTTGTATGCGCTCAACAGAGAAATATGTCTGTGTCAACTAACGAAGGCAGTCCGGAAATTGACAACTCAATCAAGTGAAGATTCATACGATTTATCCAAAACTTGGGGAGTTTGAATTGCTCTACCTCAAGGTCAGGGCCGAGCTCCAGAAGTCTACTGTATTTGAAGTTGTAAGTTATCAATTCACCTATTTCTCTTGAGCAATTTGTGTAAGATACACGGATTGAATTTGGGCCTTACTATCTATGTCTGCTTGAATATGAGGAGGTATACTTCAACTCCATCTTTGTGAGAGCCAACTCTCCATAAGTGCATGCTTCAGATAGTTAAACCATGCCGCAGGCCATATTTCTGGTTCCTTTTAATTCACTTCCCTTTCCGGATAGCATGTCTTATTTGTTTAGAGTTCTTCCTTCAGGATTCATACGTTGCAACAGGAACCTTATTATTGTTACTCTGGTGGTATTGTTCCTTGAATATGGTGGCGACATAGACTGAAAGTTGTCCGAAGTTACCCATAGTTGGGTGTGCCTTGGTTTAGGAGCAATTGTAACATCCGCATTGTTTCAGGTACGAAATTTCAAACTAAAGCTACTACGAAAAATGGAGCGTTGAAGTAGGCGAATGAGCTGAAGATACACACGGTACCATGCTTTGGGGTTCAACCTTAAAGGAAGTATTATATATGCGTCCAAATCAGTAGCTTTTGATCTCTTTCATGTTGATGAGCACTCACTCACTACCTTAATTCTTTTCTGCAGTTACCGTGTGTAGTATGAATGGGCTTGGAGTACCAATCGCAGAGCGCTTTGTCTTTCACTTTGTCTTCGTCTTTGCCCAGCACCCGTGTGAGCGAAGTTGGGTATCGTGAGAGAGGGAAATGTGGTACTGAAAGGAAGCTCGATTCAAACATACGCGTATAAGAAACCTGCAGTTTCTAGGTCGTTTAGTGCTCTCGTCTTGCTAGGTAGCAAGGGCATTTGGAAATGCTGGGGACCTGGCAGTCCATGGCAAGCAATTTTTTATGTCTTGATGCAATCACTCCGGAAATTTTTCTTGTAAGAAATTCAACAGAAATTGAGTAAAATTTCACACAGTGTGTAATTGGTACTTGTTTGAATTATCTTGGCTGCCTTGATCCACCCCTCTTTTTCAGACCTACTAAGCAAAGCTTGTCTTGATTGGTAAAGATACGATTGTACATAAATTGAGTAATTTTGCCCTGGCCCTCCACCATGAGACGCTTGCACCCAGCTTCCAAGCTGTCTACGTGCTTGAAAGCAGAGCGTAACCAAGTCAATCGACGCGTCCTTCTTTCCTCCAAGTTTTGTTCATACTGAACACGTCGTAAATCTTTCTGGCCTGTTTTGTACATCTTTCTGCCGCCTGTTTAAGAAGCGATGATATGGCGAGCGAGTCATGCGAATGATTCATCGTCCGATGAGCATTTGGTACCAACAGATTGCAGTCAACCTTGAATCTCTAGCTTGAAGTCTTCATTTCCAAATTTGCTACCCGTCTATCGAAGTTGGCTTTTATCGAAATGATCAATATGTACTATTAAAATGTCTCCTTGGGCAACAAAATAGTAATATCATTTACAACAAAAACATCTAATTAGCTTCTATGGCTACAAAGTTTGACCAAAGAAATGTATATGGGAGAGACGAAATTTTTAGATGTTAAATTCAAAGTTCATAATGCTTATATAGTATTCCATCTTCTATTTAAATGTTTAATAACATATAGCTTTAATTTTAAAGATAAATGAAAAATCAATCTAAAATAGGTTCATTTTAATCTGATATTTGTGTAACATTTTTTGATAGTTTTGATTCTCATTGTGATACTAACAAGCACAAAATCATGAAATTTGATATTAATGTATGCTATTTGAATAAAACCATTAACAGAACAAAAACAAAATACTACAAGTATTTTGTACAAAATACTTGTAATTTAGCCGTAACTAGAATCATAAACTGATGTATGTGGTTCAGCTCCATATCATTCTACTTTCATGGTCTAGATAGAAGCTTCATAAAACCAATAATGATACATCAAGTCTCCTTAACCAACGTCTTGACGATACATCTCTCCATCAAGTGTACATGTGAGACTAAAGCTCATCATAATGCTAAGTAACCCAATTCTTATTATAGTACAAGGCTAGTGAAACCTAACATGATATCGATTACAACCAACCCTAACTAGAGGCCAAGCCTAACTATGGTTAACAAAACTTGGATTGATCTTACAAATTTTTACTGAATCCAAGTCTTGGAGTAGCCAGTTTCTACTACCTATATATATAGTTTCAATGGGAATTTCTAGAAGGTAAAACTAAATCATTGTTTTTCTTCTTTGAATGAGGGTTAACTTAAATTAAATCGTAGCTCACAATATGTCACAGAGAAACTATATATATATATATATATATAAACTATCATGTAATCTAACTCACTAATGCAAAATTTGCAAAGTTGTACGGTGTTGTGAAAACTTATCAAAAGGAAAGATTTTGGTAAAATGATCAACCGGTTTTGTTATCTATGTTATAAAATGATCTTGAAGTCTATGTGCTTCATCCTACTATCTATCACTTGATGCTTAACAAGGTGAAACGCGTTCTAACTATCACAATGAAGATTGACATCCTATTGCAACAATCTCATCTTAATGATAAGTTTATACAACCATATTGATTTCTTTTTTGATTTTGCTGCAACATATTCAGATTGTATAGATGACAAAGAAATGCACTTTTGAAATTCTTTATTTTTTGTAGGATGATTTTAAACAATTTGAATTGCTTCACATGCATAATGCCCGCGAAGGAAAGTCTTGTGAGGTTGGTGCGGGAGTCATTTTTTTTCCAAATCAATAATGGAAAAGTCCCTTTCAACCGAAGTCGTATTTAGAAACATGTTACAGATATAATATGAAAGACAAAAAAATAAATGAAAGATATGAAATATACTTGATAAACTCTGTTTCAGCCAAGAAGAGACGCACAATTTTCAAAACAAACATACTATAGAAGTGATATGAAAGAAATAAAATATACAAGATATGTGAAATTTATATGAATACTTCTAATCTAGTCAAGAAAAGACTCACAATGATCGCAACAAACGTGCTATAGAATTGATATGAAAGAAAAAAAGTGAAAAAGTGCATGAAATGTACTTGGAAAGTTCTGTTCCGGCCAAGAAAATATTCATATTGATCAAAACAAACATTCTTAGAAGAATTATGAAAGGAATGAAGTAGAATTTTTTTTTATTTGATTATATCATCCTTGAAAGTAAATAAATTAGTTGACAAGAACATGTGAGTAATGCATATGTTTGTTAGATAAAAATTGAATGTGTTCGTTGAAAGCAACTTATCAATAACATGTGTGATTGTTAAGGCTATTAGCCATATCATCAATACACTGAAAGTGAAATGAATGATGAAAACAAGATTTTATCTTTTTTTACTTGTTGGATAATCTATATAAGAAAAAGTTGAACCATTTTGGATATTTTTCATATTCAAAATTGATTTTTTATTATTGAATAAAGTACTTTTTTAATTTTATTATTTTTTATCAACCATTTCTTAATTTTTGATGATCAACTTTCAACATTTTGAAGATAATACTGATTGGTTGGTAAATTTGTTTGATTGTAGTACATGCTTTCACAATAATGACACATGAAATACAATATGTATTTGTATATGTGACATAGATTTCAACTTGTATGATCCTTATCAACACGTTTCAATGAATACAACTCTGTAAATGCAGTAACATAATTATTATATGATAATTTCAGAAGAGTCATAAGAATATTTTACTCTTATTGCTCTTTTAATGTGAAAGTTCATAGCATATTGTAAAATATATAAGATTAATTGTAAAAGAAATGATGATTTTGTGAAACTTCATTAGCTCTTTTTTTTTAATATCAATTCAAGAGTGATAGATTGTTAACATTGTTAAATTTGTCGTGAGAAAATAATCAAACTGTTCTAAAATGTTCAAAAAGAATAAATAATTTAATTTATGACTAAGACATTGCTTAATCCATGATTCACAACAAAATGCATCAATATACAAATATGCAAATTATGAAACTGTCACTCTTATTCTAGTTGGTATGATATGAACCATATTGCTAAATTTGTTTACAAAAAACACAACTGAATCTAACAAATATCTTGCAAACTCACATACATTATTCATGATGATATATTCATATTGTTATTTTGACATATGAAGAAATTTTAGTTAAACTATTAGTTTTTTATTACTTGCTTTTTTTTTCTTTTTTTTGACAAGCTACGCAACTTCAAAGACAATAATCCACATTCTCTTGTACTTTGGATCAATTATACACTTGTTTGCTTTTTAAAATCTTTTTCATTTTCACGTGTTATGCAACAACATTATCATAATGATTCGATACAATCATTATGCATAACACTTGTCGTTGAAAAATCTATATATGTTATATGTGAAATGTCAAATCTTGAGCAATTTTCTCTTTCAATTTGTAATGGTCTCATGATAATTTCAACCTCCTTTGTTACATGTAATATCTAACTCTCATGAATTCATTTGAAAATTTCACTTTTGCAACATGCGTATGAAAGCATCCACAAGTTGTTTTTTGCTCTTCACTAACACAATCTTCATATTGAAATGCTATGTCATTATGTTCATTTCATTTTTTAGTTAAAAGTCATGTTTGAGTCTCTAAATACATCAATGATTTATGATTAATCTTCATCACAAATTTTTATTGTTATAGTATTTTTTTTCTAGGTTTTGTTCGCAACACAATGATTGGTTTTTTTGTTACATTGTGTAATACAGCCATTTAGCTACAATCAACTTTTTAGAAAATTTAGCAACCAAATATAGATGTCACGGTAGACAATCAAAACTTTGACAAATCTATTATAAAAGAAAGATGAGTCATAGAAAATTTTTAAGCTAACATTGATTCTAAAGTGCTATTGATTTTTGAATGAGATTTATTTTTTCAATTTTCAATTGGATTTTTTTCCTTAAAATCCTATGATCCAAGTAATCTATTTCTAAATTGGCAAATTTACATTTTTCAACTTTGTCATATGATTCATTTTCTTTCATGTAGTTTCAAGAAATAGATGAAGTACTTCTTGTATATGATGCATATGATTACTCAAAATTTTGTCGTACACAAAGTTATCATGTAGAAAAACAAAAATAGACTTGTCTAAATCTATACAAATAATATTGTTTATCAATTCCATGAATATAGTTGGTTCATTAGTGACTTTATTAGACAACACTAAATATTCAAAGTAATTATGCCTAGTATAAAAAGCGTGAATCTTGTGAATATCTTCATCTGCAGTTTAAATATGATTGTAGCCGTTTCCAAAATTGAATTATTGAATCTAAAATTGATCAAACAAGTCATTCATACAAGGTAATTAATATATTTTTTGGTTGAGAGTAACTCTGGTTAAGGAGTTAATTGAGTTTAACCGCATATGTAGCTATTTTTAGCATAAAGTGGTTGCTTACCTTGGGTATATATACCCTATGGGTGATAAGAAGTTTCTCACTTCAAGTAGTAAACTCTTGAATGTATTCCTCCGTGGACGTAGGCCCTTAGGGTGAACCACGCTATATGTGTGTCTCCTGTGTTTATAGTGTTGTTGGTTTGCTCAGTCTTAGGTTTACCGTAAGAATTGGTATCAGAGCGAGTTTCGATTCGGTGCTTGTGTCAGAGTGTTTTTCATGAACGACTTTCTAACACGTAGTGGCGGAGCCAAGGGGGGATGGGCAGGAGGGGTGTATCCCCACCCCCCCATCCCTCTAAAGCAAACCCTACCCCTGAAAACGCGGGACCGAAAAACCACACGTGCAAAGCCAGATCACCTTACCATTCTTTCTCTCTAGAGAAAAAACCAGGTCCATGACAATCAAACTGTTTCTTCGATTGAAGATACTCATACATGCAGGCTTCGTAAGAGCACTTCGTGTCTCTCTGCGTCTGTTTGATCATTTTGTTTCATT